TAGGTACTCGGTCTCTAAAAGGTTCGCCATCACTGACCTAGGCTATGTAAGAAATAGAAGCAAGACCATTTGCCCTGCCTCTTTTGCTTCATGTTTCTAATGTGTGAGGCCACCCTTGGTATGCAAAGAAAACATGTCATGCCAATATGCAGTTTTTCCAGTCTTTGTATCTATCATTATCACTAAAATTAAAACTACCGTATTTTTCACTCTATAAGATGCACTTTTTTCCCCCTCAAAAGTAAGGGGAAATGTCTGTGTGTCTTACAGAGCGAATGTGTGTGCCCGACGGCCAGGATGCTGCCGGCCCGCCGGCACCGCGTGGCACCACCTGGCCGACACACGCTCGGCACGTGCTGCTCTGCCCCCCCCCCCCAGCGCAGGTGAGAGCTGTGCCGGTCAGGGGGAGCGGTGCAGAGGAGGAGGAGCCGCGGGCTTTAACCCGCCGGCTGCATGGAGAGAAGGACTGCTCACCCGCACTGCCCGGGAAGACCTGCTGCTGTGCCACCCAGAAGACCACCGCCGGCACGCTGCCGGCCTGGCTGCACCTCACCTGGCCAGCACGCACTCAGCACACCCTGCTCCGCCCCCCTCCTCCGGCGCAGGTGAGAGCTGTTAATCACAGGTCGGTGTGTGTTTTCAAATGGCAACCCGTCTTTTAATGAAACCCATGGGGAAGTGATGGGGAATGTGCTTGTGATTATCAGGAAGCTTTCCATGGATCCCTCCTCTAAAAACTAGGTGCGTCTTATGGTCAGGTGCGTCTTATAGAGCAAAAAATACGGTAAGTTCTATCACTAAAGATTGCTTCACACAGAATATTTTTCATACATTCCTACTGTAAGAAAAGTGTATACAAAACTTTCTTAAGATAATTTACATGCATGTTCTCTGATGTGAACATGTAGCTGAGCAGATTGCTGCGTGCAAAGTAAGATATGTGCATTTGCCTCATAGAAATGATATTTGTGGAGCAAAAATCTGTATAATCCAACTTGTGTGTGTCTATGTGTCCCAGTTTACACATGGTTTAATCCATGGAGTGTCCACCCTGAGCACTAACCAATGAGTATATTGCCTTCTACCTGCTCCACTGCATCCATTTTGCATCTGCAGTCCAAAACAATCCAGAAAAACCCCACTGCTGGCTTGTTAGTTGTGGCATCTGAACAACCCAGTGCTTGAAACCATGGCTTGTTGTTGGGTTGAGACTCTGACCTGCTTAAACCTTGACAACCCAAAGTCTTGGGTTTGGGCATCACTGGCAACACAGAAACAAGGCATTCCTGAGCTGTTTTGGAAAGTGGGCACAAAGTGGAAGTGGTGAGCAGGCAGGAGGCAGTGTGCCCAATCATATCCATCTGACCCTGACCATTCTTTGGTCAATCCTTGAATTAGCACTACACGTGAACCAGATTTATGTGTATGTTTGTGTGTGGGGGGGGGGGGGGGGGGGAGAAAGAATACTTTAGTTAATCATCAGAAGGAGATCTAGCTTCCTTTACTATTAAAGCTTCATAGTACTAGTCTGCCATTGGTCTGAATAGTGAGTACCTAACATGTACAATAAGATCTTGATTGTTTCCTGGATTAGGTCTCGTGAGGATATCTAGACAACACAGGAGTTGAGTAATTTCCTCTCAGGAAACTCTAAAACTGAGCTACAAGCCAGGCAGTGCTGCAAATACCAAAGTATTCAGCTTGAAACATGGTTCCAATTTTTATTCCTGAAACTCAATGAGAGGATGCATCTTCTCCAGTTTTGCCAAGCTGAGGACTGTGCTTATCAAATGATTGTTTGGGCATTTTTCATAGTCTTTTCTAACAGCAGCAGCAACAGAAATGCATTAGAAAATTACTAATTTTATGTGGTAGTCCATTAACAATAACTATAATGTTAAAGTGGTGAAATTAAATTTGGAATAGATTAATGGCACAATACTGCCTTCAAGGTTAGCAAAAACAATAACTTTATGAAACAGTTATCAATTATATTCATATGCTGTTCTTCCTCCAAGGTGGTGCAAAAAGCTCTTCCTACTTACCCCCGTTTTATTTTCATCGAACCCTTGTGAGGCATGTTAGAGTAGGCTGAGAGATCAATACAATTTGCAAGGGGTTGGGACCTGCCCACACCTGTAAGAGATTCCAAGTGTGTTTTGCACCTCCCTCCTTTCACACTGTTTTCTTTGAGGAACTCAGCCATGACACAATGCAACTAACTATCTCTCCTGTAAAGATATCTCTGGTGAGCAACACTGTGAACCAAAGCACTGCTTCCTGGGAAAGTGATACACAAACACAAATGCTTCAGTAATATTTCTTTGGCTGTTTCTTTCACATCATGTAGGGCCCATCCCTATACATGATAAGATAGTAAAACCACCTACAATTCCCTGCATTCCGCAACCAGATATGCTGGGAGTTGCAGAAGGTTTTTTTTCTGTTTAAATGTGCCTATTAATGCATTCTTAATCTTGTTTGATTAAGACAATACACAGTTGGAGCATTGTAATTATTTAAATGTGGTAAATTTAAAATTTACTTTTCATCTCCAGTTGCCCCTTTGTCTGCCTTCTGCCCATCCCATAACACAATCATTTCTTGCTTATGCAATCTTTCCATTCTTTACCTCAGCAGTGTAGTCTTCTGTTTGCCCCTCCTAGAATGCAAGGTTTCTGAGCTTGGTTTCTCCATCCCCCTTCCCATCTTTAAAAACATAATATGGGTGGAAACTTCATGGGACTCTGCATACCCATGCATGCAACTGGAGTGCTTGTTCTGGCCACTGCAGCTTTTGGTTTGAACATGAGATGGAAATGTGGGGAGAGTAAAAAGGAGCGAGAACTTTCCATTACTTTCTCAATCACCCTCACAGGCTGCAGCTTTTTGAAGGTTAATAATAGACAAATAAAAGAAGATTCACTAGAGAAAATGCTCCCTTCCAGACAAACTGGTTAGCTTTGCCCACAAAATTGTGCCCAGTTTCAGGGAATGGGGGAAATCACACACATATGCATTGGTCTGTGGGGAAAAGAAAGTCCCAGTCCTATTCTTGTCCCAAGTCATGAACTTGGGTCAGGTTGTAATATGTTATTTGGGTCTCATGACATTCCATGGTAAGCTGAGAAATGGTAAGGTCTCTGAATCAATTGAGCAGGGCTGAGCCAGGCATTTTACATGACTAAAAGTTGTGTTCCTGAGCAAATTTAAGCAGAAAAAATGCCAGCGACTCCTAGCCAGCTGGGGCTTCTCTGAGTTGTAGGCATTTTCTCTGTCTAAACTTGCATAGGATTACACCCTAAATCTGGCAGTCTGGGGATAGAGAGAGAATGACAGTCTTGTCCCATCATTCACTTTCCTGTTGGGAAAATAATAAGTTCTTCTTTTCCCCCTTTACATGGAAAGCTGGCCATGTATTTGTTGGAGATATTGTGAACTGAATATTTTTGCTTGCTAAGAGCCATGATGACATATGGAATGATATTTGCTTATTCTTCTTGTAAAGAGTAAAGGACACTGGAAAATGATTCAAGAGCTAAAAGCTCTGGCCCATTTGCTTAGACTGTGTGGATGCAATTAGCATTATTATATGGAATTACATGAATATGAAGGATGCCTGAACATGTTTGTTCTACTCTTGCAGCATTCTATTTGTGCAATTTCCAGTGTGACTGGAAGAGCTGGCTCTTCATCAGATTGGGATCACAGTTTATACTTAACAAATATTAGTATACCATGAAAGAGCTGGCAGTTTTAGGGAGTTGTTCCATTCACATGCAGAAATACAGCATTTCCTCACCTACCACACTTCAGGAGCTCTAACTTCCACTGACTCATATGTACGTATTTCTGTAACAATGTAAATCTGAAAAGTACCCATTTTTATTTGACTTTGTAAAGGATCAGCAAGAAGAACACTGAGCTATGCAAATTTATTTGAAATTGCAAAGGTCCACCAAGTCACAATACCTAGCATAAGTCTTCAGATTGCTTACTGTTGATCCTCAATGACTACTGTTTCAGCCATGCAGTTTGTCAGTTGGCTTTTTACCTGGGATAAGCAGCAATTACCTCTAGATGTTCAACCAAGTAGTAAATGGTTTTCACTTACTTTTCTGCGATCATAAAACTGTACTGTTGTCCAGACTAGAGCCTACCAGCATTAGTCACCCAGCTCTATGGTATCTTCATTAACAGAAGCTTTGCAGTTAATTTGCATTTAACCTCTTCAGTCAAGAAAAGAGGGTAAGAGTATTCAGCCATTGCCATGCTGCAAGGTGATTTCTGAATTAGAAGAACTTATGGTGGTTTCATATTCACATATGCATGTTTATGATTTCTTGTGGTAAGCCCAAAAGAGAAAGTGAGAGAGAAATGAAGCTGGCCCCTGCCACTCTGGAGTATTGTCATTCCCCAGTCAAGGAAATTGAGGGTTATGTATAACTTAGCATAGATAAGAGTTATGCAACCTTTATGGACTGAAGACACATCATTTGAAAAAAAAATGACATGGATAATCCCACACAATTGTTGCCGTGGGAGGGGTAGCAAAGGACAAGTAATAGGCCCAAAAGTAAGAATACAAGGGAGAGGCAAGGGCTGGACCCCAGCACGTAAGCAATGCCTTTGAGCCCCATTTCTACAACCAACAGAAATCTGTCTCTTAGCAAACTGTGTTTTAAAATGTGGTGGGTAGGGCTTCCTGGAAGACACATACCCCAGAACAGGTTTATTATTAATTATATTTTCATGTGAGGAGGAAGAGGAGAAGTCAGACTTCTCAGAGTTCTATGAATTTCTCACTCTTGCATTCTTTGTTTCACAACATATATTAGGTTAGTTGTAAAGGCAATGCTGATTCCTTATATAGACATGCCACTGGCACTGCAGGGTTTTTTTTTTAAAGTATAGTTCATAATGGTTGCATTTACCATACCCTGCTCAATGTTTGAAACAACTCCTTTTGGCATCCTAATTTTGATTTCTTTGTGTTACAGGTGGCTTCAGGGGAATGCAATGAAGATACTGAGGTTTACAACATTACACTCTGCACTGGAGATGAGCTAACATTAATGGGACAAGCAGAAATCCTTTATGCAAAATCTTCAAAGGAGAAGTCACGGCTCAACACTATCTTCAAGAAAATTGGAAAGCTTAATTCCATTAGCAAATTAGGCAGAGGCAAAATGCCATGCCTGATCTGCATGAACCACAGGACCAACGAGAGCATTAGCCTTCCTTTCCAGTGTAAGGGCAGGTTCAGTACACGCAGCCCCTTAGAACTGCAGATGCAGGAAGGTGAGCACACAATTCGCAATATAGTAGAAAAAACGCGGCTGCCCGTGAATGTGACTGTGCCGAGCACTCCGCCACGAAATCCTTATGACTTGCATTTTGTCCGTGAAGGCCATCGCTACAAGTTTGTTAACATTCAGACCAAGACAGTTGTGGTTTGTTGCGCGCTGCACAGTAACAAAATTATCCCAATGCACTTCCCTTTGCATTTGGCTCTTCCAAAGTTTACCCTCCCTGAAAGTCTTGTGAAGGGGGATGTGAGGCATGAAGCCTTTGTCAAGCACTGGTTCAGCCTCTGCCAAGAGCAGTTTGATATAGATGAGTATTCCCGTGCTGTGAGAGATGTGAAAGCTGACTGGAACGAAGACTGCAAAAGCCCGCAGAAGAGTTGGTCCACCAGCCATAATCATGTGCCAAACTCCCTTAGTTACGCTCGAGATGAGTTGACACAATCCTTCCACCGCCTCTCAGTCTGTGTATATGGAAATAACCTTCATGGAAACAGTGAAGTGAACCTTCATGGTTGCAGGGACTTGTGTAATGAGTGGGCTTTGTTCTCTCATGATGCTCTGCAGTACCAGGATTCTGGTGATGGTAGCAATGACTACCTTTTCCCTGAAGTCAGTGAAGAATCATTATGTTTACCTACCAAACCAGAACTTCCTTATGAAGAGCTATGGCTGGACCAAGGGGGTGGGAAAATGAGTGAGCAGCCTCTTACTCGCTCACAGAGTGAAAAGAACAAATGTGACAACTATAGAAGTTCGTTCCGGTCCAAATGTGGTAGTTCCTCTCTTCCAGCACCTGGGGCTTTAATAACAACATCAAAATCTTCAGATGTTTCCCTACCTCCACCACCTGTGCCTCCTAAATCTGAAGCAGTAAGTTATGTGGATTCTTTTTTCTTCCAAGTGGGGTGGGAAATTCTCATCATAAACCTGAAAGAGTCATCCTTTGTAGGGAGATGAAGTTCAAGCTCTGTCACAAAATCGCTGGTCCTCCTGCCAGAATTAAACTTCCCTTGCAGGTACTTGAACTTTCCCCACCTCTTCTGTTTTCCACAAAAAGATTGATTTTCTGACATAGCCAATACCCACTGCACACATCTTCAAGCATCACTGTTTTGCCAAAGTTTGTGCTTTTCTAGATTGGTTTGAAAGTAAACCACAAACTCAGAGAACAGGGCTTTACTGTGTCTGCACATTAAAAATAAGTTTTCTTACACAGCATGTGTTGTACAAGTTGTCTCTGCAAAATTGATTGAGTTTGGAAACATTTATTTCCCTCTTTACTATGCAGAGTTCTTGTTGACATCTTCAGAGGTTGGGTAAAACAGGATGTTGAGTGAAAATGTCCTCCCAAAAGCAAAAGGTTACCCATCTGGAATGTTCCTAATGCTCCCGAGGTGGAAGACAGATGAAGAGGGAGAGCTTGAGTGCTGGAAAATAGATTTGGCAAATGGAACAGGCAGGGTGGTTGTTTTTAAAGGTTTTCAGTTTAATCCTTTGCTTCAAGGAACACTATGATTAAAATTGCATTAGAGAAGAAAATAGGTATTGTGGTATATGTGAAGAAAAAAGTAGACATTGAATTAAAAAATCATTCCCGTAGTGAGATGAAGTCAAGCACAGGATGGAGTCAGACAACAGATTATAAGTGGCTCTGAGTATATACACATTTCTTTTGTCCCACTGTTGTCTTTGCTCAGGCAAGTGTTTCAAACAATGTCAAAACCTGATTTGCCAGAAGTGAAAATAAGAATGTAAGAAAAGCTCTGCCAGGTGAGATCAAAAGCTTCTCTAGTCCAGCATCCTGTTTTCCCATAGTGACCAACCAAATACCCCTGGAGAGAAGCCCACAAGCAAGGCAAGAACACCACCATCTGTTGTTCTCCATCAACTGCTATGAAGAGGTGTACTGCCTGTGAAATAGCTGTCATGACCAATAGCCATTGATAGTTTTATGTATGCTACATGAATTTTTCTGATCTCCTTTTAAAACCATCCAAGTTAGTACTGAATTCCACAGTTTAACTATGAACAATGTGTGAAGAAGTACTAACTTTTATTGGTCCTGAATTTTCCACTGTTAAACTTCATTTGATGATTTCAAGTTTAGTAACAGTAGATTATGCATTCATACACCATGCAAAATGGTATGCATATCATGTACTCCTGTCACTTGCCTTTTTTCCCCTAAAACTGTGTAGCCCCAAACAGTGCAGTCTTTCCATGTGGGGGAATTTCTCGAGCTTCCAATCATTTTGGTTGTTCCATTGTTTGCTCTACAAGAAATGTGTCATGTCTTCCTTTTTAAGGTACAAGGTCTACAACTGTACACAGTATTCCAAGTGTGATTGCATCATAGATTTGTGTAGAGGCAATATGAAGGCAATTTTATTTTCAAACCATTGATTCCCAAAATTTTCAGCCACACACTGGGTCAACTATATACTCTCCAACTTAATTAGTCATTTCCAGCTCGGGTCTCTTGGGACCTTTTAAGTATCAACAGCCATGCTATCGTTTGGGTCTGAGCTGTTAAATATTGCACTGCAGTGGTTTTGCTTCAGCTGTTGGATCACCAGCTTCAGAAAGTGATGTCTAAAGAATATTGCTTAGCCTTGTAGACTCTCCAGCACAGGGTTCCTTAAGGGTCAGGTTTGTCCTCATGCCATTCAACATTGGCATGAACCCACTGAGTAGAGCCATCATAGAGTTGTGGGTTACAATGCCATCACAATGCTGATGACACCAAACTCAATGTTTTTCTTCTTCATCTGTGGATGTGCTATGTTAGTGCCTGTCTGTAACAATAGACTGGATAAAGGCTAATAATCTGAACCTCAAAGTAGACAAGACTGAGATGCTGTGAGTGGGTAGTTCTTCTGACCAGATGGAGCATGTTCTACCCGTTCTCAGTGGGACTGCACTATTCTTAAAGAAGTGAGTTTATAGCCTGGGGGTTCTCCTTGAATTGTCTTTGCACTTGAAACTAAGCTGGGCTCAGTGTCATGGAGTTCCTCCTAACAGCTTTGGTTGATGAAGCAGCTACACTCCTATTCAGACAGGGACAACCTGGCTTCAGTAATCTATGTTCTGGTATTGTCTGGTTAGATTATTTCTGTGCTGTACATGGAGCTGCCCTTGAAAACTAGCCACACCAACTACTTTCTGTGAAGTATGTGCTTACTATGTTATTTCAGTTAAGTACATGTATGTTCAGAACCTGCAGCTTGTGCAGAAAAGCAGCAGCTAGATTAATAACTGAGATGAAAAGTTGTGAGTATAGAACACTAATTCTAGCCTGCTCATTTTAGCTGCTTGTATGTTTCTGAACCCATTTCAAGGTGCTAGTTTAACCTATAAAGCTTTATATAGCTGGGATCACAGTATCTAGTTGGACACTACATTAAACATCTGGGCCCTTCCTCCAAGTGCCTACCACAAGGAAGGCTTCGTAGGTGGCATCCAGGGAGAGGGCCTTCTCAGTAGTGGATCCCCAGTTATGGAATGAGGCCCCCAGTGGGGCCTGCCTGGCTCCAATGCTGCCATGCTTTCATTGTCAGATCAGGATTGTCTTTAAATGAGATTGATTCTTCTTCTGCAAGACCTGTGTGCTTGGTTGTTTTATCTTTAATTATGACTTTAATTGGCAAAATCTACCAAATTACCCAGAACAGACCATAATCTCCCGGACCTCCACTTTTAACCGTTTTTAAAAATTGGCCACAGGTAAGGAGGCAGATCTTAGGAACAAGTTACGTATCGTGTTTGCAGTTGTATATTTGAGTTAAGAACTCCTCTGTAGATTCCATCCAAACTGTTAATTGGCTGGATGATGATGATGGTGATGATGATGATGATGATGATGATATTGTTTTCCCTCCATTTACTTCTCAATCTTGAAATCAGTGCACATTTCCCCTTCTCTTATTGTGCTGCCTTGAAATCTGTGCGTATTTTCTAGTTGGGCAGATTTGCATATTTTCTAGTTGGGCAGATTTGCACATTTCTGGGGAAGGAGAAATATACCCAGAATTCATGGTTGGGAAGTAAAAATTAATTTTCTGATGAAAATCTTCTTGTCTGTAACTAGATCTATGATCGTGTCCTCTACTTGATGACCGCCTTGTCTTCATTTCCTGGTCTTTAGGTATATATGATTCATCGTCATACTCACATATTCTACCTGAAATATTATTACTGTAATTTTGAATAACCCGCAAACATACTGGAGACATTTGCCCCTCTTGACTTTTCTTTCAGCTTCCTTTTTCCAGGCCCCTCCTCTTTTAAAGTCAAATGTGAATTGTGTTGGACCACCTTGGCAGTTGTCTACTTCCATGAATTATATACTTAATAGAAATAAACTCAGCATTTTCAGTCAGTTCAACAGCACATTTGTCTCATCTGTTCCTGGTTGGATTAAGGATTAATCCATTTAAGAATAAATCCAGGGTCATCTTCCCTCAGATTCTATGATTAATTGTTTTAGGGCACAGTCCTGTTAAAACGGATAAATATTTACCTTTTTGTCATGATTGGAACATTAATTTAGCTGTCAGTGGTTGTGGGGGGTAGGAAAAATGTGTTGAGGAAAGGGAGACAGAAACTTTTTTCCCAAAACGTTTTCCAATTTTTTTCAATTTTCTTTTTGGAAAAAAGGGAGCATCTCAAAAAAGGGTCTACACATTTTTAGTCTGAACCAGTTTTTAAGATAGCACTCCAGAAGACTAATCAATTGGCAAAGGTTAGCTATAGTAACTGAGGAAAGCCTATTTTTTCTGGTTTTCATGGTAGAGTTTTGTTATGTTTGTTGGTTTGCCAAACAATTATTAAACAGGCCTGTGTAAGAAGTAAATAATTTCTGGAAACTATGTTGCATATCAATAAATTATCTTAATATTTATTTATGTAACTTCTATGCCACTGAACAGCAGAAGCTGTCTGGGAGTTAACAGCAGTTCATTAAAACAAAATCTAAAATGTACCACCATATAAAAACATTGAGGGAAAACAATTGCCATACACAAACATAAATTAATTTGCTGTAGATTTGCAAAATTGTACCTTTCTACACATGTTAGCTTGTTCTGCTAATGGAAGATTGTGTGCATGTGATGATCATCTTTCCTGAATGGCTGGTAATAAATGTTTGGACATACATTGCAGTATTGACTTTTGAGTCTAAGTTAAATTGATTGAATTAAATCAATTCAAAGCATTGTTAGAGAGCAACACCAAAATGGTTGAAGATCTTATGTTTGGATTCAGTAACAACCACAAAGTACTTCTCAATTTGATTTTTGTCAGGGAACTGAGGGCTGCTTTAAAAATTGAAACCCTGGGTAGAGGTCATCAGAATGCTACTCTCTGGCATCATTCTTCTATTCAGCTGACGCATTTAATAGCTCCTATTGCTCAAGCATCAGCCACTGGATGTGCAGTATCTCCACACTAACATCTCACATTTGTTCATGGACCAGCAAGAAATCTGAGAAGAAGTCACTTTTCTTTGTTACAGACCTGTACAGAGTGTCTCACCTCACTAACCATTTTAGGGTTCTTGCAATTATTTGTTTTTCTGATAACAATTTTAAAACTGAGAGGCCCAGACTGAGTTAATTGATTAAAAGGCTCAGATAATAGGAAATATCTTTACCTAGTGATGAAAAGACCACAGAGATGGCACCAGGCAAACATCAGTGAGAGAACTGTTCCACAACTGCGGTGCCACAACCAAAAAGGTCCTCTCTGTTGTTACCCACCTCACTCCATTTAGTACAGACACTTGGACCAGGGTCTCTGAAGAAAAATAACAGTTTGAGTGGGTATTTGTGAGAGTATGTGGCCTTTCAGATAGCCTGATAGCTATTTAAAACTTTAAAGGTTAAAACTTTAGCTCTGTCTCAGAAACAAATTGGGGGCTAGCACAACATGGTCAAACTGCCCAGTTCCAGTCATTAATCTAATGGCTCTGTGTTAGACCAACAGCAATTTCTAAACCATTTTTAAAGGCAGCATTATGTACTGTGCCTTGCAGTAGCCCAACCAAGAGATTACCAGAATCTAGAACATTGAGGTCACATTATTTTCACCCAGGTAAGTTTGTGGTTTATATATCAGCCACAAGCTAATAAACAAGGTTGAGTTGCAAAGCTCACATCAGCCACTAGTGGTGGAACAAAACACCCCTAGGCTGTGAACCTGATCCTTTAGGGGAAGTGGTGACCCCGTCTAAAACAGGTTGAACAACATTTACCCAGATGAATCAACAACCAGCCAACAATGCCTCCATTTTGCATGGGTTCAGCCTCATCCCAACCATCAATGAGCTCAAGCACTGATTCAAGACAACCATGATCTAACCTACATTTGATGAAAGAAATGTAATGCTAGGTGAAATTTTGGTGACATCTCAGTTGAAATCTCTGGATGACTTCTCCATCCAAGTGGAAGTGGGACTGCCAGGCAGCCCATCTGAAATACCTCAGGTTGATAATACCAAAGGCCACGGAGAGATCAAAACTCAACAGGGCCACCCTGCCCTTGCCTTTTCTCTCAACAAAAGGCACCCCACAGGGCTACTAAAGCAGTTTTAGGCATACATTCAGGCCTGAAACCAAAGTGAAAGGGATTGAGATACTTGCTGTTAGCTTTTTGAAGGACCTGAGTTGTTTGTCATTTTAAATGTTTTCCAAATTATTCTCTGTTTCTGCTGAGAGAGAATACTTTATTATAATACATTGAAAAATTTCCAGAGTTACAAGCTTATCATTTATTCTAATCACAGGGTAGCAGGTGCTCCTTCACAGAAAAATTTCACTCTCAGATGCTGCATTGTCAAGGTGTAGAAAGAAATAGAAAAAATGAAAAGAGGATATGTGATAATGGCAGGTGATTATAATATGGTTATGGATAAAGAAAAAGATAAGTCTAACCCATCAAAGTTAGATATAAAATATAATAATACAGATTTAAGTAGATGTATTAATAAAACAGATTTAAAGATGTTTGGAGAGAGTTAAATGGGAACCAGAAAAGTTATACATTTTATTCAAACAGACATAAAAATTTTACAAGAATAGATTAGATATTTGTAACAACAAAAATACTGTCTAAGATAGTTAATGTGGATATAAAAATATATATGATACTTTTATCATATGCAATGATAACAATGGAAATAAATGATAACAATGGAATGCAATGTAATGATAACAATGGAAATGGAAATAAAATGATTATAGATGAGCAAATAGATGGAGGATAGATCTAATGGAGGATCTGATTAATAAACTAAAAAATAATCAAATATATAAATGGGAAGACTGGAAAAATAGGATAAAATATAACACAATTAAGGAATGTAGCGGCAGAAGCCAAATTAAATTGGTTAAATTTAATACAATTAGAAAAATGGATAAAGATGGAGGGAAAATTTAAAGAGGAAGAAAGACAATTAACAAAGTTTGAAACGATTGTGAAAGACGTGAGATTGAGGAAGGATATACAGGTAAAGGAAGAATTGCCCAAATTTATAAAATATTAATAGAATTAGGAGAACAGACAAAAAGTTTGAAATCAATTTGGGAAATTGGTGTTGGTGAAATAAAAGTTGAGGATTGGAAGAATATTTGGAATAGAAGAGTATATAAGAATATGTTGGTTAGAATTAAAGAACATGGATATGAAGTGATAAACCAAATTGATGATACATATTCTAATATTTGTTGGAGATGTGGAAAAGAGATTGGAACTTACATATGTGGTGGGATTGTGATAATATACAAAAGGCATGGATTATGGTGTTTGATGATTTTAGAGAAATTCTAGATATAAATCTAGAAAGGTCACCAAGAATTGTGTTATTGCTGCTGATTGAAAAACAAGATATAAATGAAGTTAAGAAAGAATTGATCCTAAATTTGATAATGGCAGCCAGGTTAGTAATGATTAAATACTGGAAACAGAATTGGGTTATATAAAGGAATGAATGGTATAGTGAAATATGGAATATGATTGTTAATGATAAGTTGACAACAGAAATAATTAAAAAGGGGATAATAAAAGTAAATAAATATAATGAAATATGGGAACATTTTGTAAAAGCAGCACTAATGGAAGGGAAATGCTGTAAGCCTAATCAAGAATATATGAATTTTTGGAGGGGATATGGATATAACTAAAGTATATATTGTTAATTGTTATATTATACAAAGTGAAATGGAGATATAAACCGGTCTCCTGGGGAGCAGGCGCACAATGTTTTTTTTAGTCATCAGTTGGGTTGTAGATGCTAATATTATTGATATATTTCGATATGTATTGTATCCCAACTGTTTGTATTTATGTTTTGTTAAAAAAATAAAAAGGGGAAGGGAAAAACCAGATGTTGCATTGTCTGCTCAAGAAGACTACTTGTAAATAGACTACTTTCCTATAATAAACTGGCTCCAGTAACATCTCTAGCAGCTTTTCTAATGAAAGGCTCATCTTTCAATGGCTACCATATGCCCTCTGCTGGCAACATATATCTGTGTAAGTAGACACACTTTTTTTCAGATCAGACGGATCTGCTATATGGCAGAAGAACAAAACCACAGGCTGCCTGCCAGTATTCAGATTCTATATAAAAGTCTCTTTGCCAAAGATTAATTTTCTCTTTACTCCTCTGTTCTGTTTTCTGTTCTTTTGCAAACTGTGACCTGAGCAAACCAAATGCTTTCCAGTGGTGTTAACCACCTGGATTATCACATATTTGTCAAATATTCAGAGGGCTGGCATGATGTGGTGACTGAGAGACTGAGACAGGAAGTCCTCCAGCAAGTTCAGATTTTGCTTCAGCAAGACACTCAGTGGCCTTGGGCAAGCCATTTCCGCCCCACCTCTGCTCTACATCTCTAATAAAAAACAATACTGAGCAACCTTACAGGGTGTTTGTAAGAATGAACAAATTTAAGTGCTATATAATGACTAGGTATTATTCCCATCTAGGTCAGAGAGGAGTGTAGACTCCTAAATGCTCCACCTGTGCCACCACGCAATTCAAAACCAACGTCCACCAGTCCTTCTATCCCTCCACGAACAAGCAAGCTGACACGGCAGCAAACTCGTTCTCCTAGTCCAACCCTCTCATACTATTCTTCAGGGCTACACAATATGTAAGTATTGTATGCTTCCTTCAGCCAGCTTTCTTTTGCAAGTGGATACTTGAAGAATATCTTCCCAAGTTTACTTCTTTAAATTCTTCCATGCAGAATTTCTCTAGCCACTGTAAATAGGTAAGAACATCACAGTAATGTATTGTGGCTGCCTATAGTAACAAATACCTTTGATTTTCTTTAGGTCTCTGTCTACAAGTCAAGCCTCGCCAGCATGTTGCCCTGTAGCTGTGTTGGACTACAACCTCCAGCATACCCCAGCTAGCATTCTGGGGCTTGCTGGAAGTTATAATCCAAAACTTCTGGAGGGCACTCAGTTGGCAAACTACTCTGACTGTGTTCCAGATTGGGGAACAGAGTTAAAGCATGGTTCGATTTAGCCCAGGTTTGTTGCTAAGAACTGTTGTCAGGAAAGATCCCTTCCTAGCCCTGGGAGCTGAACTGAGTCCTTCTGCATGCAAAATGCATGGTCTTCCACTGATGCGTGCATCCCTCCCATAAGGCTGCCATATGGTCGTAGTCATAAAAAGGCTTGCCCATACCTGGAATTATGCCTCTGAAACAAAGAATGCAGGGTAGGTAGTTGCATTTGGGGGGGATTTTGGGGGGGACTATAAATCATTCTGATATCAAAACATTCCCTTAGCTGTATATGTACCCAGAGGCACCCTGTTCCTTATCTCTTTCTCTACCTGTTCCCCAACTTGCAGCTATTACACACCTGCCAACAGTTGTGGGGACTCGGAGTTCTACTTAAGAAAAAATAAAGTAGTTCTCACAAGTCTGGAGTCTGCCTCCTAATGAAAAGACCAAATGAAGACTGAATATAAATGCATTTTTTCCATTTAAGATGAAAAGTGGTCTGCACGTAGATAGCTGCACTATGGTGTGTGAGGCATTGGACATAAAAGTGGAAGGAAGTGCTAGAATACATGCATGGCAAATTCTGGCATCAATTCCTGGCATCTACAGTTCAAAGGATCTTAGTAAGTCTGGCAAAAGATCGCTGCCTCCTCCAACCCTGGAGAGCCACATCCAATCAGAACAGACTATGCTGAGCTAAGTGGGCCAGTGGTTTGACAGTAAAAGTCACCTTCTTCTCTTTATGTAGAACCTATACTTTGTTTTAAATGATGAAAATATGGAAAAGAGATAATATGGAAGCTAGAGATAAAGTTAGACAAAAGGATCCCAGGAAACAGGATAATTTTGTCTCCTTAGGAACTTGTATTTACTAAGTTAAAGGCTGGTGGATTTGCCATCTGTTACTACTAAAAGAGCAAAGTCTTGAATTCCATTTTTGACATTCAAAATGCACAGTTTGCCTTGATCTATTTTCCAGTGTATATTAAGACACTGTGTCACACAACCTTACAACTTTATTGCCACAGTGAAATGTGATAAAACCTACCTAGCAGAACATAGACTTCGAACTTTCAGAAATAGCTGTCATCATATGTTCAAGGGGTATCATTATTAGATTGCAGCAAATGACAAATACTGTTGAGTGGTGGATGAATAAGGTTTACCCTTTTATTTATTTATTTATTTTTCGATTCATATCCTGCCTTTTCCTACAAAGGGCTCAAGGCAGCTTACATCATTCTCCTTCTCCATCTTATCCCCACAACAATAACCCTGTGAGGTAGGTTGGGCTGAGAGTCTGTGACTGGCCCAAAGTCTTCCAGTTGGCTCCATGGCTGAGTGGGGTCTAGAACCCAGATCGTCTGAGTCCCAGTCCCACACCCTTAACCACTACACCACACTGGCTCTCTCTCTCTCTTTTAGTAAGTTGAAAGTGAATGTACCTCATAAAGTCCATATTTTTGTCCATCACACAAAGGCTGAAACCAAGACGTAGAAGACAATGATCAATAAAATCAGCTAGTTTGCTGGGGCTCAGTTGCTTAGTATCACATAAACTTTTTTCCATGTTTGAGCTTGTGCTGCTCAATTAGTTCTACATAAGGGAAGTTGCATAAAGATATTGCCTTATGTTATGTCAGGATGGCAACCAAAAGAACAATTCTCACATGACTGCTAACTACCACTTCTACATTAATTCTCTTTTTTGCTTGTGTGTGTTGTTAAATTATAAAGAAGCAATGCTGCAGAAGGAGAAACTGAAAATCCCACTGAGAACACCCCAGTTGCTTGCTATCCGTGTGGCACAGTGAATGTCGACCTGCAAGAGTTTGGTAGCAAATTGCCTTTAGGAAGTCCCTCTGCTGATGCTTTGTCCTCTAGACTGTCATGGCCAAATCATTTTTCTGGAGCTGCTGAAGGCCTTAATAGGAGTGACTTTCTACTGGATCCAAGCAGGAGTTACAGTTATCCAAGGCAGAAGACTCCCAGCACACCAAAGAGAAACTGTCCAGCACCTTTTACATTCAACTTTGACAAAAGTGAACTTCTTGCAGGGGATGTACTGCTAGCCACAGCAGAGCCTGGCTGTGCTGTGTCCAGTTGTCCAAAGTCCGCAAGTTACTCCGTTGAGTGCACTGATGAGAAAAGTCTGGCAGTAAGTAGCACACTGCAGTCTCTCTCGTGCCCTGCCTTACCCCCTCGTGCACCAAAAATGGCAGATGACAAACCAGCCCTTGATTTGTGTCCACTGCCTCTCAGAATAGATGGCGCTGAGGAAGAACCTCACACGGGCTCACCAGACCTTCCTGAAGATCAGTACATTGGGAAAAAGGGCATGCAGGACATCTTTTCAACTTCCTATCCTTTCTCATCTCCTCTTCATCTTCAACTAGTGCAAAGGTCTTGTGGTGATGGCTCTCCATGGCAGCCTCCTGTAGATCTGTCTGGGCTTTCAGTAGAGGAAGTTTCTAAATCTCTGAGATTTATAGGTTTATCTGAGGATGTCATAACATTTTTTGTTACTGAGAAGATTGATGGCAACTTGCTAGTTCAACTCAATGAAGAGATCCTTTCCGAGGATTTCAAACTAAGCAAACTACAGGTTAAGAAAATATTGCAGTTCATTAATGGCTGGAGACCTAAAATATAGTGCTAACCTGTTCTGCAAAACTCAGAGGTATGCTAAAAGCATGGGGACTAACACAAAGTCTCTCTTTCTCTCCTTTTTTGCACTAAGATCTTCCTTTCTTGTGTAAATAGCAGGAGAAAAAAATCTTACTATGCAGATAGTTTTGAATGGTAAGCAGACCTTTTGTACATAGTAGAAACATAGAGGTGTGCCTTGTGCATCCCTGAACATTCAGCAGCTGCTAAACAGTGGACATTAAAGGGAATTTAATTTGTACTCATGTAGTGTGTTAAGACATATTTATTATTATTGATTAGGCAAAGCTGAGTAGCACATAAACCAATCTGATTTTGTGTGTTTCCCAATAAATATATTTCCTCGTGGGTTTTTATTCTGATGGCCATGTACTGCACCTTTATTTTTGATATCCAGTGAAAAGTATCAACTTCCTCCTACATGGAGCAGGAGGGGAGGAGGCTGGTGCATCATCTGGACATGGCATAAGCTGTTATCCTCAGCCTCCTCCCTTCTGCATCCTCACCATGCTCCTTTTCCTTCTCTCTGCAGCCAGTTTGCAAACTCAGGCAGGCAGTGCAGTTCTTCCTGTACCACCTCTAAGGAGGGCAAGTGGGGGCTTCCCCTTTGATGTCCCAGGACTTTGGAATGAGAACTTGGAATAATGCTGCTGTCTCCCAAACAAAATTGGAGGGCCATAGGACTGTGTCCCAAACTGAATCCAAGAATGATCTGCTTTGGAGCATAATTTTAGGAGGTTAATACCGGTGCAACAATTCAGTGAATTGTCCTTCATACTTGGAACCGCTGCTGTTTCTTTATGGTTCTTAAAATATACCGTTAAGAAAGAGCAATACCTGACATACTAACCTAAATTAAGAGAATTCACATTCCAGAAACTAAACCTAGTCTAATCAAAGTGAAATTGAATCAGTAATTTTTGTGGTGGTTTTATATTACATTTTTAGGCGAAGGAGAGCAGTTGAGGTATGCATCCTGTTCTTGAAAGAGCTAAAGGGTTAAAGGGTTTCATGCCTGTTTTTAAGGCAAAGTGAACCATAGTTTATATCTCTCTGTGGCCTTGATGCAATTTTCATTAATGCGATATTTTCCTTAGACTTTCTTTAGTTATCCTTGTCCATAGAAAACAGAAGACTTATTTGGAAAGGTCAGGGAAGACTGCATGCTATATTTAAGAGAGAAAGATCTGACCATTAGCAGGGGTTAGTAACAATATGATTTCTCCAACTTTGGGAAAATTGATCAAATCCCAATGGTACTTATTTAAGCAGATAGTGTGACTTGAAAGTAAACTCTCTTGCATTTAGTGGCAATTAACCACCTTTTACTCAGCACTTTCTTTGCATATGAGCAATCCAGAGTTGTCATTAGGTAGATTATTATATGAGGGTCAGTTGAATATCTGTGACTAAAGCACCACTTCTGTCAGACACGTCATGGGTATTGCTAGGATTGTCTGCACACAGAGAGTCTGACATCCTCTCTACTGTAGCCAGCCCCTCCTGAAAACCATTCTGGGGCTGCGGGGCAGGAGGCATCAGGGTGGAACACTGGGAGTTGCTGGGGAAAAGGAAACAGGCTTAGGCACAATCCTGTGGCTGGCTGGGACATGCTGGGAGTCATAGGTTTCCTTTCTGTCTAAACATGCATAGGATTGTCTCCTTAAAATTCCAACTAAGGTACTTTGAGCTCAGTTCAGGCATCACAACAAGCCACCACTGAGGAAGCACCTTTTGCTGTTGTAGCCAATGCAGATGACAGAGTGGCTGTCCATTTGTCCAGGAAGCTGCAGGTGCCCCTTATCAATACTTCTACTTTAACAACTGGCTTGTTTTAAATGCAAGTGTTCCAAGGCCAGCTATGCTCAGTTCAAAATACCTTGTAATTTCACAAGTGCCTGCCATGTGTTTAGAAACAATTATGGCTTAAAGAATACTTATTGTTGGGATGCCAGCAAAATCTAGCTCCAATTCTTACGTGTTTCAGAAAACAGCCCTGTACACTGGCACCCATTTAAAAGACTGACAGCACAATCCCATGCAGATTTACTCAGAACTAAGTCCCACTGTGTTCACTGGGGCTGACTTCCAGGAAAGTAAGCATAGGATTGTACCCTTAATCATTCAGTGCTATGCCAGTCCTGGTGTAGATTTAAGCAATTCTGTATTTAGGGTATTCATGCTTTTATTCATAGACCTGTAACTTAATGGATTTTTTTGCAAATTGATCTATTCAATGCAAACATCCTGTCAGTGCTAGTTCACTGTTGTGAATCTGTATTGCTTTGTGGGCCATTGTCTTCAGAATCTCATATTTAGGAAAGAAGTTGCTAGAGACAATGTGCCATTTCTCTTTGTGCTCTGCAAGCCCCAGGATTAATAACTTTCTAACCCTGAATACTCACACCAGTTTGGGCATGTGTATCTACCCTCATTATGGTGTGTCACATTGACCAGAATGACTTTAGTCGAAAAAACATGCAGGGAAGGCCACATGAACTATTTCCACCCACAGTCGGAGCAGCATGCTACCTAACCACTCCCTGATGAACCAGATGTCTTTGAGAAAGCATTCTCTCTTCATGCAGATGGTTCCACAAGGAGCTACTATGCTTGAGGGGGAACCCCATCCCACCAGGACTCTTCCTCAAGTGTAGGAGCATGGCGAACTCATTTTCACAAACATCCACTGGACATGTTCATCCAGGAAGGGAAGCTGGCATGCAGTTCCAGGAGTAGGTGAGGCTAGCTCAAAGAACCATTACATGTGCCCACTGAATGCTTTTCATTTCCTCTTGGGACTATTCATCTATGGGACTAATATGTCTTTGTTGTTCTGAATTTGATACTTTAGCTGCCCTCTTGAAACTAAAATACTTTCAGTAATTCTAATCTGTTGGAGTATAAATGATGGAAGGAGCACTCATACGTATGTGTACATGGTGCAAGGAGCTGTGCACTTCAAACTCTGTCCACTTACAGAAAGATGCTAGTATCTGCTCATCCTTGAACATGGTCTGATGTCTTGTGGGGTCAGATCTTAAAATGGGGTCAGATCTTAAAATCTGGCCCAGGTTATCAGAATTTTCCCAAGATGCTATGCAATTAACATTCAGTGCAAGGAGAAGCAGGCTGGCAGGCAGGTAGCATAATTGCCTCTTGTTCAATGCTGCAAGCTAGAGCTGGGGCTCTTACTGGTGCAGCCTTGTGGGTAGTGACAAGAACCTACTATGTGTATTCTCAATAAACAGCTCTTCTGTGCATGTTTAGTGAGTAATCAAGATGAAAATAAGTCCGTTGAATGTATAGGCATTTCTCTTAAGGAACAGTGCAATGGATATATTGTTTGTTTTTATCTCTTTGTATGCAGCACCCTAGTCCTTTACAAAAAGGATTCACAAAAGGATTTCAAGTAGGATTTTCTTTCCTTTGGAGAAGAGGGCATCAATGAGAATGGAGGCTGCACATACTACATCTGTAAAATTGCTCTTTTTCTGCCTGTGATTAATCAAAGCCCTACACTGTAACATTTTGTGTTCCATTTTTAGACACTTGCAGGGCAATCATAAGCATGTTTACTCAGGAATAAGTCCCACTGGGTTCAGTGAGACTCATACAGGATTCAGTGTGACCTTCTTCCCAGTAAAACTTGCCTAGAGCGTAGAGGCAGCATCGGGCAGCTGGTGGTAAAATCTAAAACCTTGACGATTGCTTGCTTAATACATAAAGAACATGCACTTTTTAAAGTTCAGTTTGTAGTTTAGCAATTGTAGGTTAAACTAGATTTAATTTACTTTGTCATAGACACACCTTTTATAACGTACACATTGATTTTCTAACAGCTGCAGTTTCAATAGAAGTAGATTAGATGAAACAGTTCAATGGTTTGGACCTAAAGTTAAGGAAGTGAATATAATGAAAATGTCCCCATTTTCCTTTTTCTTGCTGTATACGGGATACACTGGGGGAGTAGAGATGTTTTAGCCCAACAGGCTCAAGCACTTGACAACACCTCTGAGGTCATATGGGTGCACAACTCATTAGCACATCCAAGTGTAAATGTGCCCTTATCAGCCGGGTTGAGAACGTCAGTAGTATAGACCTGATCCAGTCTGGGCCGCGAAAACTTGTGCCTTAACGACACCAGCCCAAAAGTGTATAGGAGGCTTAGGAGAAACAAATATAGAAAAATGAGTCTACACTTGTTTAATTGTATATACTGCCTCTGGGAATCTAGAAGTGGGGAGATTGGCTTTTAGGTTGAACAAGCTGTACCTGAATGCTAGAGAATGGGTGAGCAGCATAGATCCAGCTCCACCCACTGTGAAGTACTGGCAGCAATATATTAGATGCGGCTACTTCCTACATCAGCTTTCCTAAACTGGTGACCTCCAGATTTGTTGGACTACAGTACCCATCATTCCCAGGCAAGAGAGTGATTGGCCTGGTGACTGGGGTTGATGTGTGTTGTAATTCAACACAGATGGGAGCCACTGCTTTGGGTAAGTGATCTTCCATACGAACTAGAGTATAGGGAGCCTTCACCACTGCTGGTATTGTGCTTGGGGATGTTGCAATCTAAGAATCTCCAGAGGTGGTTACTTTTAAAAAAGAAAGGTAAATGTTAGGATTCCAGCATTCAATTACCTTTTAGATGAAGCAATCCATTCAGAAGATCAAACTATATGAAAACATTAAAATCTAAATGTGAAGTGAACATACAAGCCTTGCTAAAATGAAGGAGCATTTTAAGATCTCAGAACAGTTTTATTTCTTGAATAAAAAGCTGATCAGGTTGGATGTAAAGTCATAATGGCAGAATTTCAGATGCATTATTTTCTGAACTGTATCAAAGGAAACAACTGGTTTCCACTTGGTCAACCTTCTAATGGGTTTCATGTATGTCAAGAATATTCCATTGTGAAAAGTCAGTGTGCATTTGTGAAAATCTGTGCTGATTTGAACATCTCTTTACAAGTTTAGGGGTGAGGAACATCCATTTAAACCAGGAGCAAATGAATAACCTTATAATGCATATGAACAAATGTCATTTGTGTATTGTAAGTATATAACTGTATATTAAAGATATTATTTTCATGAAATTTGAAATGTGTAGAGGGTTTTTCTCCATTTCTCCATTTAATTTTAATGAATTAAAATTAACAGTATTGGAAAGCAAAGTTTTTAACTGGTAGACATGTGATCAAACTATGTGAAGTTAAGTGATGAACAACTGGATTTTTTTCATGGACCTTGTTCACATGTAATGACAAACTGTGTGTGTGTGTGTGTGTGTGTGTGTGTGTGTGTGTGGTGTGCCATCAAGTCATCTCCTACTCATGGTGACCCTATGAATTAAAGCCCTCCAAAATGTCCTGTCCATGCCAGGTCTGATCAGCTCTTCCAAGTTCAAGGTGGGTTCCTTTATTGAGTCAGATCTTCATTTCTTCTGCTGCTGTCAACTTTACCTAGCATGATTGCCTTCTCCAGTGAATCTTACCTTCTCATGATGTGCCCAAAGTATGATAGCCTCCATTTTGCCACTTTTTCCTCTATGAAAAACTTTGGTTTGATTTGATCTAGAGCCCACTTGTTCATCTTTCTGTCCATCCAGGGTATTCACAAAGCTTTCCTCCAGCATCATGTTCTGAACACATCAATTTTCTTCTTATCCCCTTTCTTCACTGTCCAGCTTTCACATCCAGACATTTTGATTGGAAATAGATTAGTTTGGAAGAACTTGACCTAGATCTCAAGTAAAATGTCATTGCACTTCATGATCTTTTCTGGTTCCTTCATTACTGCCCTTCTTTCAGTCTTCTTTGACTGTCTTGGCTACAGTCTCCTTTTGAATAGATGACTAACCCAAGGTAAGCTCCAGTATCCATCGTATATTTGCAATATCATCTCTAGTGCCTCTTCTTGAACATCAGGCATTTCTCACTCCATACAGGTGCTTTCAGAGCAGCTTTCACTTCACTTTCTAATATTAGAGGCTCTTCATAAGATTCTGCTTCAGAGAATTCTGTCATCCTTTCATCTCTTCTGTATAGTTCTTCTCTATGTTCTTTCTACCTTCTCCTGGTCAGATAGTATGTTATCTTGTTTTTCTTTTGGCATTCCTAGTCTAGGTTTGAATTTCCCTGTGTGTGTGTGTGTTTTTTTTTTTTTTTGCTGGGGTGGGATCTTCTTTTGTTGCTTTCTTCTGTTCCTTTGCATCGGTCATTATAATAGTTCTTTTTGTCTCTGAATGATCATCATTGAGAAGTTGCATTCAGGATTATGTCACCTTTTGTTTTTGCTTCTCACTTGTCCTTTGCAATGGAGAATGTTTCTTCTATCATTCATCTAGGATTTTTCTTCCTTTTTCAGCAGAAATTGTCTTTTGGCCTTCTTCCCTAATAATGTTTCAGGCAACAGTTCTTCTGGCTCACAGTCAATTAAGCTTAGCAATATCAATCTGTTCCTTACATGGACTTTAAATTCTTCAGTTACTTAAATTACATTTTGGCACTAGGTTTCTGATCTTTTTTTAGCTTGACTCTGATTTTTGCAATTAAGAGCTGATGGTCACTACTGCAGTCTGTTCCTGGTCTTGTTCTGACAGCAAGAATACAGTTTCTCTACCTGATGCTTTCAATTACAAGGTGTGGAGTAAAACACTTGATGTGTACCTGATTTGAAATGTCCCATTCCATTCCACTTTAGTTCACTCACACCAAGTACTGTGATGTTCATAGTGCCTTCCAACATGGGGATCTCATCCTCTAGAAGTATCACTTGTTTCATTTTGGATTGTTTCATCATAAAGTTGCAAGATAAGAAAATTCAGAAGTGGTTTGCTTTTCCTGACTTCTGCACAATATGAAACAGAGTTAGCTTGAACATCACTGCAGTTGTCTGTGAAAGATCTTTGGCCAGTGTCGCCTTCAACTATCTCCTCTGCCTTGCAGGTGCCTTTCAGAAGCTCCACCCCCATCACCATAAATCTCATCCATTCTCTTTTTGCTGATGTGACTGTTATTCCTAGAGGGTGGATGTGTCATAGCTTGGTTTCTCAGCCTTGACCGTTCGGCCTTGGGTGACCCTACTAGGAGACCAGCCTAGTGAGACTATTCTGGATTGTTAACAACATTGCTCTTAGAATCTTTGACACTCAAACCCCTTCACCATATTAAGGTGTGCATCCAAGAGGGGGAATGACAACCTACTGGTTTAAAAACCAAAAGGTTGTCATGTGTAAGTAGGAGAGTGTAGCCACCACTTCCTGTTTTACTTCACAAACAACAGTTGTCTCCTTCCTAGATTACAGGGCCTAAACAACCCAGTAATGAACCCTACACCAAGGCAGGTCCCTATGAGCTAAAGAGGAGGTTATTTGCATATTATTACATATCAGCTGATTATGAGTTGAATTCAGTGAAGAGTGAGCAGGAGAAAAATAGATATTTGTACTGTTCTGCAAATTCCTACACAAGAATTTGCATCAGGTTCCACAGGTAAGTTGTAGTTGTGTGCTGAAACCCATGGGTTTTACATACAATCATCTCCAATCATCATCATCCTCATTACATTTATACCCTATTTTTATTCCTATTGCAAGAAAACAAGGTGGCTTACATAGTCCTTCTCCACTCAAAACAAACCTGTAAGGCAGATTAGGCTGAGAATCATTGACAAACTCAAAATCCAGTGAGCTTCATAGCTAAATCTGGATCTCCCAAGTTCCAGTGTAACACTCTAAGCACTAGCCACACTGCCTGTTATTTTTGTGATGGCCTACAGTATTTTACAGGTTATTAAAATTGTACTTTCAAAGATACAATGCACTATTTAGGAAATTTATTTGGGATGACTCTTCTCCATGCTTATCATTTAAAAAACTACAACTGCCCATGGAGGAGGGAATGTCCCTGATCTGGATGTGTATGCAAATCATACCAACTCTCATGTGCCATGGAATGGTTTGCTACCCATTTGCCATAACAATCTACTTGGGTAGGCCTAGAATCTGCATCTCTGACACCAAGTACCCAATGGATGACACTGGGTTCCAGACACATAAACAGAGAGGACCGTACCCCACCCTCGGGGACTGAGGAATCTATACATTAAAATGCCCATCAAATACACTCTGGCCTTCTCTCACATGCCAAACTAACTACCTGGTGTAATCCAGAAGTGAAGATTGCCAGACAACCATTCCTCCGGAGGCAGTGGTCTGAGAGAGGTATGCTCACTTTATAGATCAGTTAATATGCAAAGACTGTGAATTCCTCCAAGGATTTACAGAGGATATAGCGACTGACCCAAAACACACACACTGGCAACTTTCAAATAAAGCATATTCACTGCCTCAGAATCTCCAACATTATTGGAGAATTTGGCTAGTTCTACAAAGACAACCAAGCAACAATATATATTTTCCAAAAACAAAACTTCTTAACGTACAACCAGCTTGACATCCAGACACTCAGAGAAGAGTATAGTGGGGAAGTAGAATGACATATCCAACCACACCAGTGCGAAATAGCTACATTCGCCATACAGTGCATATTCCTGACCTGAAACTGTGCCTTGTACAGCAAAAGCTGCCCTTTCAGACATACTGGACTGCACAGTGCCTGCTTCAGAAAAAAAACCTATCATGCTGTAATAAAAGCTGGCAATATGGGATGGCAGAAACACCATTACTGCACATCACTATTGAAAGCATGAAAATGAGAAGCACATCATTATTTCTAGCCATAGAAGACAGACTGATCATATTCTTCCATGGCACTTTGTGCTTGGAAAAGATAGGAAATAGATCGGTGGCTCTTAGGAGCCAGATTGGACCTGCTTTTTGCTCCTAGAGGCTTTCTGAAGAGCAGGTAAAGATAAAAGCTACAATTTTGACTGTAGAAAAGTGGTTGTGTTGTGCTTGTCTTTTTACCACAACTCCTCATAGAAATCACTGGAGTCTCAGGAAGTTCTAAGTGCATCTTTGAATGAAACCATTCATTAGGCAGTCACAGGGAAGATACTAAACTCCAAAAAAGAAAGGATTCATTTCTGGGAAAAGCAGTTCATGTTACATGGCTGAAGCTGGAGAATATGGCAGTAAGAATCCCCAACACGAATCATGAATGTGTGGTCTGCAACACCCATCATCCCTTATTATCTTCAGTGCTGGCTTGGACAGATGGGTATCCTAGTCCAAAATTCTCTGAAGAGCTACACATTCCCCTGCCCTCCACATGGGCCAGTACGTTACTTCTAATAAGCCTAACCAAAACAGAAAGGGGACACTTAGGAGAATGATAGGTAACATGCTGCACCACATTTATCTAAAAAACTTAAAAAAGGCAACATCAAGGAAACCAAACAGCCTAAGCCATTATTAGGGAACCTGAGGCTACCATAACTAGCCTCAGGTTCCCTAATAATAAAATACTTTAATCCATAATTAAAGTACTTCTGGATGGAGAACCTTGCCAACGGGGCTTCTCAAATTTTCTCCAATTGTGTGCATAGTTCAAAATTACTAATTTTTTCAGGCTTGCTGGGATCAAGAAGATGTCCAAAACTATAAGCTTAGATTTAAAAAGCATCTATAATTGAAGTGACAAAAATAAAGCTATTTCACAGAACTCAAATGAGAATAGCTTAGTAATTTTGTGACTTGACTAATGAATTATTATATTTTTCTTCCTATTCTTGATTAGAAGCAACAAACATTTTACCCAGTGGTATATAGTTTGTGTTGTACTCCTAGATGTGTGTCAGTGTGTGTTTAAAAACCTATTTTGTGTTTGATCTGATTAGTGTTCTTCACAACTGGACATTTCTGTAAAGGAGATAACCACAATACACAAGAGCATGCCAAGTTAATAATGCATTGATGTTTTTATTGTCCCTTGATCATCATACTTACACAATTTCCATGCAGTTTTTGCAAAATAATAAAGGGGGATTTCAGTAACACAGCTTTTCCCATCATTCTGTCTTTTAGGGGAAAACTATTGTCACCTAGAATTATCTACTTTTATCCTTGGGCATGTTTTACAACCTAGTAAAGAAAACTGAAGCGCCATTATCCAGCTCACTAGATGAAGGGTGGAAGGCTATGTTATCTCCACGTGGGGTTGGCTAAAATTTTGTACAACTGATAACACCATCCTTAATGGGAATGCCCTCGATACATTCTACCGCACCCTTTCCTAACCCAGCACATTCCAGATGCCCTGGAATACAGCATCCCATCATTACCAACCAACACAGCTTTCACTGGCAGTTGTAGTCTGACATTTTTGGAAGGTGCTGGGTTTCAGAAGGCTGTCCCAGAACTTCAGTTACTTCCCTAGAAGGGACGTTCTTTATGCCACTGAACTCACAAAGCAGTGATGCAGCTGATGCATTTTCCAAAAGGGAAAAGCCCACCACTTTCTTCCATGAAAAGCTATTGTGTCAAATCCCCAAATATTTTTGAATTCATTAATTTAAAGAACTGTTTAAGGATTCAAGGGGCAGAAAGAGGGGGTGCGACCTCTAGAAATTATCTCTGGAGTAGCAAAACAAGGATACATTGCCTCCAACCCCATCAGTGTTCCTTATTTAGTGGGGAATGTTGTGTATTATTAGTTTTGTTTTACAGATTTATGTACTGTTGATAAACAAAACTATTCATTTTAGCTGTCCATGTCATATTCTGTGCTGGAGAAATAATTGTTTTGGTCTTTTCCTAGTTGTCACAATTTTTATGTCACTTTCAGACCCTTTGTTTTATGTTAATTTAGAAATGGAAGAATTCATGCATTAATAGTTTTCTTCTTGGAAGTAACATTTGGTATCCAGGTGAGAAGAATCCATGCCGAGCATGATGTTATGAATCAGATTTCCAAGTGACATGACTGATGTCATCTGTTTCAGTGGCTGTAACACTTCCACTATGTTCAAAAAGTTGTTGCCTGTCAAATGAGGAAAATACAAAAGTGATTGAGCAAAATCTGTGCTGGCCCTTGATAACTGTGCCTATTATGTGCCCTCCTCTAGAACCAACTACTGATCTATGCCAGCCCTGAAAGTCCCCTAATTCATTCCATCCTATTAGCTTCAATGGGAGGGAACTTGCAATGTTTAAACAAAAACCCCAGGGAAGTTAAACAAATACAGGTAATAAATAAGGAATGCTGCTTATCCCCCTCTTTTGACTAGCTAGGCTTGGGCCAACAGGTTTTGCATTCATTGACGTCTCTAGCATTGGTGCTTCCCCCAGCATGAGGAATGATTATCACCTTACAATGTCTTATCTCAGGTTTCTGAAAGTGGCATATAGCATCGTGTCTTGTTTCCAATGCAAAATGTTTTCTATTTTTACTAGCATAATTTCATCTGAGAGGAGCTGCCAGTTAGAAACCCTGAAAGTAATTTGCAAAAAAGGATACAGCTAACTTGCAGGTGCAGAGGATCCAAATTTGCATATACTTCTTCTTTAAAAAAGTCCAAATATGGTTTTGCCAATTTTGTGTCTTTGGACATATAAGACGTACTTCAAAAAGCAGCATGTCTACATGAAGATGTACTAGTGGACATAAGTGAGGATTAAGGAATACATGCCCAAATAAATGCTGCCCTGTGCAACACAAGCTAACAGAGGCTAGCACAGGTCGATCTGGGGAACCTTCCACAGCCATGTGACCTGTCAGCACCAGTTTCCCATTACCGGCCTTCTCTAAATGGGCATCCTGCCAGAAGCTGAATACTTACGTTATTATTTAATTCCAGGTTTGTTTGTGCTTTGAGTTGTTTGCGGTATTTCTTTTTAACACAAGTGGTAGCTACAATAGCAATGATCAACATGATGGCAAATATAGTAAGAGATGAAGCAACGGCTATTACAGTGTTTTCATAGAGTGTTCCCTTCTTTTCACATTTTTCTCCAATATACCACCAATCTATGCCTGCGGTGCACCTGTAAGACATGGCATCTCTTCAACCATTGTATTCAAACAGAATGTGCAGTATTTTTTTAAAGAAATGCTTTTTGTCCATATATACCAGCATGTTTTTCTCCACCATAATGTGGTCTTCAAACATGTAAAACAGATGTCAAACCTAATACAAGGGTAATATCTTGAAGATGATGCTGTCTTCTAAATAAGGGGTAGGAAGAATGAGGATCTCCAAAGGTTTTTGACTTCAGCTCCTATGGCCCTCCAGATGATAGCTACTATTGAAGGATGATGGAAATTGCAGTTTTACAACATCTGGAGAACCATATATTTCCTATTACTGATTTATTGAATATTCAGATTACTCTTTGGGATAAATTTTAAAAAATCTTGTCATTCAGAATAAATCAAATGTGATGGTTTTTCTTGTCTTCCTTCAAGGTGAAACAGCCCTGATCCAGAATTCTGCATATACCATTGTATCACTTTAGGGCTAAAGCCTGAATTGTTTCAAGATGTCTAGCTTCCAATCTTGCATCTTTTAGATCAGGAGTGGAGAAACTGTTGTTCTCCCGATGTTGGACAACTCCCCTTGGGAGGTGTTTTGTTTTGTTTTGTTTTGTTTTCTGTTTTTAACAGAATGTATTAAATCTCAGTAGTAGTAGTAGTAGTAGTAGTAGTAGTAGTAGTAGTAGTAATAATAATAATAATAATAATAATAATAATAATAATAGAATGTATTAAATCTCTGTCATGTCTCATTGCAGTCACCTTTTTTCTTAACTAAACAGCCCCTAATATTTTTTCCTTCCTCATAAGGAAAATGCCTCAGTCCCTGATCACTTCGATATTTTCTGCATCTTTTCCAGCTCTGCCTTATTCTTTTTTATCTCAGCTGAGTATATTGTACACAGTATTCCACATGTAGACACATCATCTATATAATTTAATGGCATTATATTTATATCTGAAGGACATTATTCTACCAACTGCTTTAATGTTCATCCCCTTTCTTGACAATCCTACCAGTCTAGATGTATGTATTTCAATATGGATTGAACCTTGTATATGTCTTTTTCACACAGAATTGGCATTTTTATCATGCCATTCATCATGATCCCAAAACCTCTTTCCTGGCCCTTTAGTACCCTTTTAGGCCTATTCAGTATATACAGGCGGAGCCAAAGAAATGTGTACACATTTTACGAGATGTTATCTATGCATTACTTTTTGAAGTTGAATTGAATTACAGTAGCAATGTGTAGTATGACACTCATTCACAAGATGGCATCAGTCAAATGAATGCTAGCCTAACTATGCGACAGTTTTTAATACAGCTTTTTCCTTTCTTAAAATGTGTATATATTTTGAGCACCATCTATATGTAGGATTGGAAGTTTATGTAATCCAGTTATATACATTTAGGCTATTGACTTCTGGAAAACACAAACCAGTTTATGTATGCCTGGTTATCTCTCACTGACAAACAGTAACATGAAGCAATGTCCATGTAACTAAGGATTCTCCCAGCTTCTTAGGATTTTCTTATCCATATGCTTACAGACAAAGAACTTCCACATGGCTCAGAAAATGTCCAGTTATCTTCCCTGTTGGATCTTATCAGTTTTAAAAAAGAACTTTCATATCAGCTTTCAGCTCAAGCACATTTCCCCCAGTCTAGGGTTCATATATTCAGCAGCAAGTCATAAAGTGCTGAGTAATCAGCTGATACAGACATGTTTATCTGAACATGTCACTGAATGCAGGATTTTAGCTTGTGTTTGTTATATTATTCTTGCTTCAAGGAAAGCTTTTGAGGAAAGCTTTAATTTCAGTCTTTTGTAGTATTTCTTTTCCATCTATAGTAACTTCATATGATACATGCTGTATTTTGGAAGAAGGCAATCTCAACTCTTTGATCCTAACAGGAAAAACTCCACAAACTAAGCTAAGATTTTCCTAATTTTTAGGAAAGATTGGGGAACGATGAGTCCTTACATTAAACAGCTGTCCTGCTTTGGAGTGCAAGGTTGACTTGAGGTAGGTTTCCTTCCCAGGGCTGAGGACTCAGGTTGAGCGACTAGCTCCGAAGTCTGATCCCAGTCACGTCAGCAACTTGGCTCTGACTTGAATCAGGAGCAATGAGCGAGTGACTCAACTTGAGATTTCTGCTGTTTTTGCCAGAAATTGTTCCAGAGTTAGGGCAGGATATCCTGTGGTGATCTTGGCAGAAAGCATCTGTGATGGGCTGGAAAGCAGGCACAAATGGAGCAGAGGCAGTGGGAAGGAGGGAATTGCAAGGGGGGCAGGATAGGGCAGGGGTTGTGATAGAGGGAAGAGAAGGCAAGGCTTCAGCTCTTCTTTTTGGCATGGGGGAAGCGATGGGGGGAAGGGAGTTTCAAGAGTCAGGGAGAGAGGGACACTTGAGACTTAAGACTTGACCCAAAAAATTCTTGGAATGACTTAAGACTCAGCTTGGACTTGAATGTAGAGACTTGACTTGAGACTTGGAGTAAAAGACTTGACTACATCATTGTTTCTTCCGAACCTACAATCCCATGATTAGTCTTCTATGTCACATATGGATTGGTCCTATCCTGAGTCAGACCGTTGGCTTAACTAGCACCAGTACTGTAGGGTTGCTGCCAGTTCACAAGGCTGGACAAAGTATGAGGCAAAGGTCTTATCCAAGCTGTGATCTTTTTAACAGGAAATGATGGGGCTAAACCTGTGTCTGCCATTGTGCCATTACCCACTTACTAAATTATCCCAGACTTGATTTTTTTTAAGCAGCATCAGTGTCCTCACTTGGCCATCCTCTTGAATTGAGGGGATACTGGGAACAATATACTAGCAGCTGAGCTTAAAGATTACTGCCCCAATCCAGCAAATTTGATAAGCACGCTTCTCGACTGGTTGTGGCTACAAGTGACCAAAAGGACTAAATGAACATGGCAGATTATTAGTGACACATACAGAATAATTTACAACATGCTGCACAATTGAGGCTTGGCACAGTTAACATCAGTCCCTTGAAAGTTTAAAATGACCCCTGCAGATAAGATAAAGATCTCAGAGCTTTCATTTTTATCACCAGTTTACAGTGGATTGTTTAAAAGTATTAAATATCTTCACCTTCTAGGGCACAGGGGCTACTGAATAACATTTACCTTTAAGAAACTACAATGATCAGTTACCTGCAAGTTGCCTTCTTTTCAACAACAATGCACGTTCCATTGTTTTGACAGCCATAATTTTTACACACATCAACATCTGAACTGGACATATTGTTTGTTGTCACTTGTTTTGTAGTTGGAGCATTGCTGGGTGTCAAAGTTGGTTCAGTTGATATTAAATGTGATATATCTGAAATGAATAAATTGGGTGTAATATCAATTCTTGTACCATAACCAATACATTATAAGGCGTTTGGCTAGTGGTATTAATGTAAGCTTTGAGCAAAGACATTTAGTACAGCATGTACTTACATTTCTAGAAAGATCACTTCCTTTGAAAAGCTTAATTCCAAGTCCTCTCTCCCCATATTGATTACCAAGAAATATGAAGTAAATATAAGTTGTGTATATAAAGTATACTGGGGGAAAATATTGATCAATTAATTTTGGGTAAAAACTTCACAGAGGGCTGGTTCAGTTTTAACATTACACCAAAGCTTAAAATTATGAGAATAAACTGCAGCAAAGCTTGGGCTTCTAAGCTCCCAATCCCTCCAATATAGCCACTAGGAAGAGTTTGGAGGTACTAACTTCTATTCTAGATTAAATGTAACCTGTCAACTTGAAACAAGCCAATTTCAAAGCATTAGTAGATGAAGCTGGTTTGATTTAGTTAACCATAGTTAAGATTAACCAACAATTAAGGTGTGGATGACATGCTAAACTGCAGCACAGCTAAAACAGAAGCTGAAGCTTCTAATCACCGCCTTGTAAGCCATTCAGGAAGAAGACAGGGAATAGGGAGAGGGGAATATGCAAAACTGAAGGTTCCTAAGGCTTGTTCTTTTAATATTAGTCCATGGTTTAGAGCATCAAAGAGACACATGATGGAATGTACTGAAACACAGTCAGCATAGTCAGCCTGATGCTCCACAGTAGGGTTTCCATAGTTAGTAACCAAACAATTCTAGATGCTTCAGCAATGGAAGCTTTTAAAAGGTAAAGTTCTCCTGCTTTTCCCTTTTCTAAGATCATGTAACAGAAGTGGAAGAAGGTATACCATTTTGATTTAGGATTCTTTGATCTTCAGTTGACAACAGCATTGCTCAGATTTAACACTAAACTATAGCTTAGCATTATATTTGAATGGGTCAGCATGATTCAGCACTAATACCACCTTCATTGTTTCTTAATTTTTTTATTTTTTCCATATTTATTTAATTATTTAACAATTCTCCTTTGAAGGACTATTCTTTTGTCTTTGGAGAAAAGAAGTGTTTCCAGAAAATAAACAAATATCACATCTATGGAGTTGGAAGCAGTTTAGGGTGTTACACCTCTGTTTCCCAAATACTTCATTTGGTGATTTGTATGAGAAGAATAAAGAAATGCTTCATATGCACACACTAGTCTCATGTCGAGCTCAATAAACTCTTTCTTTGTAACAGAAAGGAACAGAGATACAGCAAATTGAGCTACTGGTTTAGGTAGACTGCTAAGTGACTATCATGGAATGGATTTGCATCCTTGATATTAAAAGGATAAATTATGGTACAGACTCATAACAAGGCCCACATACCTTCCATTGTTGTAAGAATGAAAATACTATCATCTTTAATAAAGTCACGGCTTTCAAGTCTCTGATGTGTTAAAAAGCCACTTGTTCCAGTCCCAGGACCTCTCCAAAACTGAGTGCCATTAGGAAATGCAACATTTGTTCCTACTTTATCCGGTCTGTCCCAAAAGTGAACTCCTGATGAATCTGTGAAGGAAAAGAAAATATTAATATACTCTACTATTTTTGGAAGAAAAGATGTTCAGCAAATTCCTAAAACAGCTGCAATGAGCCAAGAAGAAGAGAAGAGTTTTGAGTGGTGTTCATTTGCTACCTATCCTGGTTGGCTCCAATCAAGGAGGTCCTTTCCCTAAATCCCACAAAGTCCTGATCTAGCCCTGTGCATGTGGATGGGGAGGAGAAAGGGGAATGTCTGGATGCTTAGCAATGGCATAATTCATTTTCCCATGACAGAAACATCTTTCCTACAGTCCAACTGGTAAAACAGCTGGATTGCAGTATTGTTTCCCTCAGACCAGATAAGAGTTGCAACCATACAGACAGTTAGGAGTTACTTTTGGCCTCTTGCTACCTTTTATACCGCTAACAGAAGCAGGTGGGACTCTGCTACTATGGTGAGATTCCTTATCTAGCTTTGAACACAAAGAGCAACTTGGGTAACAATGTTCTCATTTAGTAATGTTTTAAATTATGCCTTATGCTAACAACCTAGAAAACCTCTTTAATCTTTCCATTTATACACTTCTGTAGACAGAATGTATCTGAAAGAAAATGTAATGCACAGTAAATTTGGACTTGGAAAAAATGGGTTTATATAATCCTGACCTCTATCTTCATCATTACTACAACTAGCAAGTTTGCTCTGCATGTAGATGATTCCCAACTTTACAGTAAGGTTCAAAAGTCTGTGGTAAATGAGGAGTACATTTTAACTGACAAAGTCAGCATATATGCCTCTGCTATTCCAAAGGAGCTAAAGGAATCTAACTCCCTTACAGGGAATAGACCTAAAAGAAAACTATGATATAAAGTGAGGGAAGGAAATAGACCAAATAGAACATATAATAAAAATAAAACTGATACCGAGAGCCACTGTACAAATCAGAGACTATATCTAAGTGGACAAGAGACTCATTTTTCTTATAATATTTGTTTTTTCATTATCCCACCCTGAGTGCTATGTCTCCTAGTGCAGAAAAGTAAAACACTGAACCATATAAAACATTCATATACTACTGCTGATCAGAGAGAGAGAGAGAGAGAGAGAGAGAGAGAGAGAGATCACAGGGATAGTTGATCCCAGAATTACTTACGCAGTTCATTTGGATCAGTTGTTATGCTCTTCTGATTTGACATGCGCTGGGAAATATCTGGATGCTGATCTAGCAGAACCATTGTGACTTGTTGCCATGGACAAGGCCACTGAAGAAGATTGTCATTTGCACCAGTAATCAAATGGAAATATATTCCTAAATTAAATGGATTGCTGGAACTATTCACATCCAAAGCTATCTGATATGCATACCCTTTGGGAGAGTAAAATGGCGGACTGTATAGTCTTTCTGCCATCCCTGAAGCAAGGAGCTGAGAGAAATTCTGTATGTGCCAAATATGATGAGGACAAAGGGTTTCTGACAGGTTGATATCATCTATGGATAGGCCTCCATTTGATGAGGTGGATTCTTTTACTCCTTCAAATACTACTCGGAATTTATTCTTAGCATTCAAAGAAATGTGGTGTAGCTCCCAGTAGTTCACAGGTGCACCTGGAAAAGAATCCTGAGTTGTATTATATTTACAACCTTTTTCCATGTCACACAGAGTGTTACATTCTACTGAGTTTTTATTTACATCATTTAATGCCATTCCTCAGCTGAAAAGTCTTCCAAAGCCACTTCCAAAGTTCAGTAATAAGACAGTTCTTACCTTCAGAGTCATCATCTAAAGAATGCAACATAAAAGGTAAAGGAATTGGGAAGAAGGATGAAAGAAGCAAACTTGTTCTTAATGACTCTGTTCTCTTTCTGGAGAGGCAGGGCAAAGCATGGTCCCTGCAGTATTCCTTCTCTGGCTGATAGAGAGGCTGGGTTTAGTGTCTCCCTTGCCATGATGTTCTTCCTAACAGCACCTGGTTTTCTGGCCAATGGATGAGGCCAAAGGGGGCTTCCCTTCACTGGGGAACATGCTGCTTATCTTGACCTTTATACTGTATGTTTGAACTATGTGTTCTGCTACTTCACATGTATAGAGATTTCTATATTTAGGAGTGAAAAACAATTTCCTGATATTAAGAGAGCCTTGGATTGAGTGAGACCAGGCAAGAGGTTTTGAGGAATACAAATAGCGATATTCAGTCAGCTGAGGCTTACCTCCTCAGTGTAAACTAGGGCAAGAAGAAGCACATAATGAGGAAGACGCTATCATACCTTGTATAACTTTCATAAGTCTTAAAGTACCATTGGGGAATGCTTTAGTGTACTCTCTGATTAAGATATTCAGCTGATCACTTCCATTGTTGTAATAATAGAACTGTAGGCACTGGAATTCTCTTTTTGGATATAGAATCCGGCTCTCTAAGACAGCATTGTCCTTCAAACTTCCAACACTGGTGTTAAAATGCATAAAGTAGCCGGTTTCTGTTGAAAACAAAAGGATGGGAAGAAATATAAGCAAGGCTGTTACCGTTTTAGAAATACCACAAGCCAGCCAACCTGACTCCACATGGGACTCCCACTCCCATCCTAGAATAGTCAAGTGACCAATTTTTTCTCCATTGCCCTCTACTTGACTGCCTTTAACATCTACTATTCCAAAGCATGACCCCCTTCTGATTTATTCCCCAGTGAACAGTTATCAGATGCTCATTCCTGATACCAATTAATGAGAGAAATTGACAAATTCCATTGCTTAGATCATTTAACACTGAAAGAGGATTTGGGGATTGGTATGGTAGGGCCTTGCTGAATATCCATTTGTCTATGGAGATCTAAAGAGCTGTGGGAAAGAGCAACATTTTTGCAGCAGTAGCCCAGAAGAAAGTGTGGAATCGGTTTCCAGAGCTGAGTTGTCATTAATGCTTTTAAAAAATTATAATGTCTTTTAAAGCAAACTTGAGTTGTGATTTTGAATAATTTATATTTGTGCCTGTAATGGGTTTGGATTTAGCAGCTCATTGGTTAACTGATGTCACAATCAGCACATTATTTCAGATGTACTAAACACGCATCACATATTGAGACATTTGCAACTTGTTTTGCAGAAGCTGCTGCATTTGCAACAGCTTAAAGCCTGTTTTTGCATCTTTGAGTCACTGAACTCCAGGTGCTTTCCAAAAATGGTCTTGCTGTGATAAGTTCCGGGTAGCCTAGCTGTGCACTTCCGCTTCCAGTAGATTTCACCCAATAAAACCTTTGCATCTGTTTTTCATTTTTATTAATAACACTTGCATACCATTGAATATAACAACCCTCTAAGCATACCAGTTGCTAAAATATCACAATGAAAACTACATATACGATGCAATATAACATTATCTTCTTTTTTCAATTATGCCAGTGTTATGGATCACCATTTCCTGTCCTTGTGTTTTTAACAAAGCATAAGGAAGAAACTCTTGCTGTCTCTCCCCCACTTCCTCCTTCATCGGTTTCCAAATTCTCCTGTAGTCTCCCCTCCCATCCCCATTTCCTTACAAAAGCTGAAACAGAACTACACATTCTCAGCTAACTGCACTATCAATTCCCACTCCTCGCTTCTTCAGGACAGTTTCGATAACTGAATTGCCTTTCTGTTATACATTCACAATCAAACTATGTTTCGGACAAAAGCTCTGCTTTTGTCTCTGTTGCATTCCCTGCCACTGAAGATCTAATGAGGGCATTCTACTATCCAGACCGTAAATGACATTAGGCACCTTGTGCATGCGTGTAATTTGATAAACATGCTGGTTTCTGAGCTAGGTTTATTGCAAAGACAACACCCCGTCCCATCCCGTCCTGTCCTCAAGTACAACAGGGCCAGGATTCTGCCTAGCACACATGAGCCCATTTCCTCCTGACCTTTAATGTTTCAGATTGCTGATGCATACAGAAACAAATGTCCAGAGCAAGCTTAATACTTTACAGGCTGTTTTTAGAATGCAACCTAGATTATCAACAAGTTAGTTTGATGAGTTCGAAGTTCACAGATATGTCCAAAGAAAGTATTTTCTAAGAGATAAAAGCAACTTTTATGCAATACCTTGGCAGGTTCCATCATAGGTGTGATCGGATTGTGGTCCACTAGAAACTTGGGTTATGCGCTGCCAGTCAGCTTTATCTTCTGTACTTTGAATCATGCCACACACATTTTCAGATTCAAAACTGCATGTATCCATAAAGGTCAAGGAAGAGCCTACATTTTTAAAATGCAAAGAATACAAGTTAGATTATTATTTTTAAACTCAGTGAAAAAATTCATTCAATTGGATCAGGAGTTAATACAGCTTAAGCCCAAATTAGATGTGACTTCAGAAAATCAGGAGATGAAACTGGCTGCCCCATGGGGTATTTAAGAGATAAAGGCCATTGTGGAAAGTCAGTCAAATGAATAGGACTAAGATGCACGAAGATTGTAAACTTCTTTAAAAAAAAAAAAAAGTGGGATTTCCACTCTCAACTCATCTAGTCTTCCCAACATTTCATCTAGTCTTTAAACATCAAGAGTCCATGAACCAAAGTTTGTACTAATTCAGCCATCTTGTAACCTATGCATTCTATTCTCTGGATACATAAATCCCAGGAGTAGGTAACAAAGAGAAAATTAATCCCATCTTAAAATAAGTGAAAGCTAAATATTTTGGATATCTAAAATAACAGGTTTTGTGGCCTCAGCTGTATCTTTGCCCTGTTAGCAGAAAAATATATAAAGACCTTTAGTCTTTTTAGGGCATGCATTGCATGTTCAAAAATTTAGGATACAAAAGGACAGAGTATCATGGTGTATGTCATCCTTCATGGACCTAGTACACTTGCGGATGAAAACTCCTGGATTGACAGCTTCAAGTTGTTGGCGGAAACATCTGGATGGCACCATATTGGTGAAGAACTGGCATGGATTTTCATCCACCATGTTCCTAATTGAATCAACGGTAAGAAAGACCAGTTGCCTATGCAAATAACCACTATTCAATTTATCCTGATTTTTCAACCTTAAAATTTTCCTTCCTGCCTGAGGAAGAGACCTAGGAATTTGCCTTATATGGGATCTGGCTGTGTGTCCACTTAGTTCAGTATTATGTACTGTGCTGCTAAGCAGCAGCTCTCTAGAGCTTTGGACAGGAGTCTTTCCCAGCCCTACCTAGAGATGTCACAGAATCAAGACTGAAACTGGGATCTTTTCCGTGCAAAGTATGTGCTGTACCATTGAGCTATTCTGTGGAACTCAAAAGCTTTCTCTATGTATTGTGATTCATGGGTGCTGCTAACAAATGTGTTTGGTTGTTCTTGCTTAACAGTTGGGCATTCGATTTTAGATTGTTTTCCAGATATATCCAGTACCAGCCTAAACATACCATCATGTAAATGAAGATGGACTTATAGGCTTAATTTATCCTCAGATCTAACAAAATGATATTAAAAAGGCAGGTACTTCTGCATGACCTGGACACCTAGTATACCTATAGAACAAAGAAATCCAGTTGTTAGAAAAGTCTGTAAATTAGGCACATTGCACTTCTCTATCCAAAAAACGTGTGATGGAAATTGGAATAAAGTATACAAGGAGCAACACTGGGGAGGAAGAAGCATTAAAAGGGTAACTGAAAAAGAGGCAAATTTCTAAGGAGCTAAATATATGCATTAATTGTCGGTATTCTATTTAATCCAATTGTACAGCACACTTAGAGCAAGCACAATTTTTCAAAGGCAACAATATTTGCTTGCCCTCAATTTCAAGTTAACTCTACCTGAGCAGCTAACCAACATTTGAGCAAACTCTGACTTGAATATGGCTGGCTTACCAATGGTTCATGTTAAGCAATATTCATGCTATTACGGTAATGATAATTAATCTCAGCTGATTTTGTTCTTGGAATCTGACTGATCATAAACTTTGAGCTGAGGTCCAGCCAGAGTTCTTTGAGCAAGATCTGATCCCCTTGCATGTGGTCATTGTTAGGCTGGATCATGCTTTAGTTGTCTAAATAAAATGGATGTGGCATACCAAAGAACCCTGGATCTTACTCGCAAAAGTTAGCAAACAAAATAACTTTATTGCCTTTGCTTATCAAAATGAAAAGCACTCCTTGAATCTCCTACCTTTAAAATTTACGTGCCCAAAAAGTGCTGTGCTAGAGTAAACACAACTAAAACATTTAACACTTCTGCGGTTGTTCAGAGCAGAAGCTCTCATTTTGCTCCTCCAAAAGCCAAAAACAAACAAGAAATCTCATTTCTGGTTCAAACAAATACATACAGTTCAAAGTGCAATTCTATGAATGGTTGCCACCATACTGGGTGGTATCCAGTTAAGCTCTCCTGAATGCAAAACTGCCTCCATCAGCAGAACAAAGTGAGCAATTTCCCATCTCTTCCAGTTCCCGCTCCGTTCCTTGGTATTCACTCTAGAGGGCTGAAGGGCACTCCACAGTAGGTTTGCCTGTGGACACCAATGGGTCTCTGGAGAACTTTCTTGGTGCTTACCAAGGCAACCAACCCCTCCTGCCCCCTTTTTAACTTCACAGTTTTCTTGCTGGCTGCTGGGATCATTTCTAAGCAAGGTGAGGACTTTCCACTGCTGCCATCTTCATTTTCCATAAATACCTTTGGGCTACATAATGAGGCTCAGAAACATTTTTAGGAAATGCAGGCCGTGGTTGCCTGTAGACTAATGCTTCTTTCTTGAGAACAGCCAGCCACCAAGAAGAAAGGGGAAAAGGCACTGAAAATGGAGTGTTTAAAAAAGTCTTTTAGAAGTGTTAATTTAACTTTTGTGATGACTGCTGTGACATTTATTTATTTGTTTATTTATGGGCACCATGACAGTTTCAGTTGTGTCCATAATTCAAAAGGTTGCCTATCGCAGACTTACTGCATTCAAACAGAGCCTGGCAAAAGCCTGCATCCAACAGCCACTGGAGTGGCCTGCTTTCTCCTTCCAGAATTCAGACAACTCAGCCTCTGTGCACACAGGTGAAGGTAAACAGTCAACAGATAATCAAGCAGGGCCAGGATGGTTGATGGTGCCTAAATTAAGTGCAAAATGTGATTCACAACACAACCATGGTGGCCATGCTATTTGTAAAACAAGACAGAAAGGAGTAAAGGGAAGTCCATTCTGCATCTGTCTTGCATTGGAAATGAAAGCACACCAGGCACTGGCTTGCGTCTGAGTAATACAGCCTTCCCCAACAGCCAATTCACAGCCATTGGCCATGCTGACTGAGAATCATGGGAATTGCAGTCTAGCACAGCAGAAGGTCACCAGTTTGGGGAAGGCTGGTATAATAGTAATTTACAAGCCTCATTTAGCAAACTGAGTCTCCCCATGGTCTTTGGATAGGAAAAAAAAGATGGCTTTATAGTGTAAGGCAGGAAAATAAAAGCTAAAGGACAAAGAAAGCTGTAGCTAGAGCGGAACAAAGATATTATGACAGTTAACACACTTACTGCAGTTGTACAGTCGACTCAGCTTCTGGATATCATATTCACTGAAATCCATTCGCTGTCCAATCACATCCATGAAAGCTGGTATGTTTGTTACTATTGTTGGTTCTGTGCCATTCCGGAAGGCAGTTTTACTGTAGTGCATTACAGAGGTATAGTCATAAGGCACGTTAAGGAAGTCTGATGTTTTATCGTCATATTTATTAAAATTTGACTCTTTACCTGATAAAACAAAATAGAATTAAATTAAAAATAAAGGAAAACACCATGGTTCCATGGCTGAGTTAAGACTATAGAATGCAGAGTCCCACACCCTTAACCACTACACCGCACTGCCTCTCAATTATTATTGCCCAACATACAGGATTTTGGAGAATTTTAGACAGAAATAAAAGCTGTATTATATTTAATATGTTTAAAGATTAATTATATAGGGCATAACTCAGCTGATGTTATGGCATATTAGAGTTCCATTGATTTCTATGAGGAGATTAAGTGTATTTTAACTTTTACACATTTAAATCAGTGTGGATTCGTGCAAATCCACTAGGGCAGTATTTTTCTCAGTGAATTTAAATCAATCCCTAAATATGTAGAATTTTGATCTGGAAAATGCTAGTTGCAGTGATAGGGAAGTACAAAGCTGTTTGCCTAGAAAATGAAAATGCTACCTTTTTCACTTCCTCCTTCCAAGCAGATCAGGACAAAGGCTTTTGAATTAAGGCTTTACTGTGTTAAAACTGACCAGCTAGGCTGACTTTGTGATACAAAAGAAAAGTATTTTGTATTATTTTGTATTAAATACTTTTAGTCAATTAAAAAGGCACAAGCAAAGTTAGAATACTAGCCATAAGGGAAATGTGGATTAATGAAAGGAAGTTCATTGATAATGGACTTTATCCTCCCTTCCAAACTGAAAGGAACTGACTCCATTTTCAAGGTGGATTCTGCTGCTTATGTCCCAGTCTCTTAGAGGATCTGACACCACTCAGCTGGTCTCCCTTACTAGTTTCCACCTTCCCTACACATATCAATAAATTTTCAATAGATTGTTCAGCTTGTTCAATAGATTTTCCTTAGGAACTTGAAACTGTCTGATTCTCAGTGACTGCCCAGAATATTTCTAGGTCTACTGGTCTTGGTGATTCAGCTGAGAATGTCACCCCCTTTTTCTTCTCCACTTCTGAATCAAAATCCAAGTTCACAACCTTTTAGGACTTTTAGGAGGAGAGGACTTAGTTCTTACTTTGCCTTTAAGAATTCTCTTTGAACTGTCAGAGCCCCTTAAGAAAGATTTCAAGTATCCCTTAAAGCTCTTGAAAGGAGCCTAGTCATGGCAGCTTTAACAAAATCTGTACATCCCTGCAGCTGCTCTCTGGCAGTGAGGGCAAGGGCTTGAGCCAATGGAATTGAGGCAGGCACCTGCTTCTGCTGAACTGCCTTCTCTCTCTCTCTCTCTCTCTCTCTCTCTCTCTCTCTCTCTCTCTCTCTGTGTGTGTGTGTGTGTGTGTGTGTGTGTGTGTGTGAGAGAGAGAGAGAGAGAGAGAGAGAGAGAGAGAGAGAGAGAGAGAGGATTATTCAGAGTCCCAGCTCAGAGATCCTGCAATTTCAGAGCTAGGGTTCCTGAAGGCTGAACCCCAACTCCATCTACCTTGCACCACATGCTCCGCTGAAGCCTTGAATGCACCTTGGAGGGGGAAATTGGGGTGTGCTGGGGCAAGGAGGGGAGGTGGCTAGGCCTGAGGACTTAGGCCAATTCCTATCCTTCTCACTTATGCTTCATCTAGCTGGTCAAAAATGCCCATCAAGATAAAAAAAACAGGGTCTGCAGCACAGTGGCAGCTTGTTTCAAGTACAGGATGCAGGCAAGCCTCCAAGTTCAGAGGCTCTTCATGCATGGGGGACAGAGGTGATAAGATCACACCCTAAAAGTATTCAGTACTTGCATTGGTTTTCATAAATGAAGAAATGCATTATTTAGGGCAACAGGAAGCGAGCAGATCCTGCAACAATGGGCAAGGAGTGGAACTGCTGATCCTTGGAATGGGGCGAGCCAGCTGAGCTTGCAGAAAAGAGCTCATTTCCAGGGTTGCTGTCAGAAGCTCCAGTTCCCAAAGCACCTGCAGTAGCATGGAAGCATGGGGGGGAGCACAGCGAGAGCACTGCCTGCTGCCCATGAATTACTTTAACTGCACTTCTGTTGGAGAAGGAGCAGGGCTTAAGGATGGTAACATTATTGTCATCCTTTTTCTTCAAGCAGGCATTCTCACCTTTGGGGGTACCCTTGCTGAGAACACTCACCTCATCCCCTCCTTAGAGGCACCTCTTGGGGCACAAACCAGCAATATTCAACAAAGGTAAAGGCCTTCACAAACATAATGTCCTGACTCAGACCATTCCACTACTTTCTATGGGGCTAGCTTTGGCTATCTTGGGTTGGACTGTGCATCTTGTAATGGTGCACATCTCTTCACTGAACAACCATTTAGGCAAACGGATAGTCAGATTAAGTTCGCTGGTGAGTAGCTGATGCCCCACTCCCCAGTAGGACCTCAACATCTGGTAATGGTTCCTTAATAAGTGGAGGATCTATTTGAAGGAGATACCCATCAGTGATAACAGAAGATGATGCCCTGCTGCTGAGAGGAGGGCCAGATGTGCAAAGAAATGGGAGAATTGAGAGTTTTGAGCTGTAGGTTGCTGAATCAGAACAGGGGATGTGATGCAGCCTGGAAAGATGCCCATCTTCCTTTCTGAGGACTCTTCTGCCATCGTATCTCTTTCCCTTCACTCTTGCTATATATTTCTAAACAAGCAAATACTACAAACAGACTGTCAGTCTCCTGTGCATGCAAAGCAAGGTGGCAAGTTATGATGTGCCGGATGCTGCTGGGCTTTATCACACATCAACCCTTACTATCAAAGCCAATGGTGAGGGATAATGGGAACTGCAGTTCGACAATAACTGGAGTGCCAAAGGTTCCTCACCTGTAACATAAAGGGAACTAAACCCCACAGTGCTCTCCCTAGAGATTCCCACTGTTTAAGAAAGCAGGGCACACATAAAATATGTTTGCTATTTTCACTCAAAGACAGAACTCTTAGGATGTCTTTGGCCTGAAAGAGAAGTTATGTTGATGAACTCTATAAATTATCTAAAATGAAAGGAAGGTAGAATAGTTACCAGCTTGAATTCTGTCCCACATTATCGTAACATAATCATCCCGATCAGATCGTGACTGCTCATGCCAAAATCCCAACGAATGAAGGAACTCATGCTCAATGGTCCCAATCCTGTCACAGTTGGCTCCTATGGATAGTTCTTGCCTTCCAATATGGCGGTTTCCTATGAAGGACCAGCAACTAGAAAAAATGCAGAAGTGATCTGGCTCTGTGCAAAAAATGATCTAATTTAATAATATTCTACCAGAACATGGTCACCCTATTCTTGCAGAACAGGACTGTGTGCAGATATTGCTTTTGTGGAGATTCCCTGGCTTGACTGTGTATGGTGTGTGCTGATGCTGAGAGGGCCCATGATTTTAAAAAGTTCTGCCTCATCACTTTCAGAACTAATTGTCTGTTTAAATGCAGGTACATGGATGGAAGACTTTTCAGACGTTGCTGTTTTCTGGACAGACTCTCCATTATTGTTATGCTGTCAGAAATAGTGAGAAGAACCCAGTGCTGGAAGGGACATGTGGACTGGCCACCATGCAGATAACAAGTGACTGGCCAGGGGTGTTGTTGATCTGCAGTTCTCCAAGCTTGCTTTCCCTCATGAAGAGCCAGTGCAGCCAATTTAAAGGACTGTGCTGTCTGGATGTGGCAAATTTCCCCTCTCCACAGCAAATGAATGGCCAAACATGTTTTTGAGAGATACCAAGAAAAGGACTTGGTTGACAAGATGAGCTGCTGCTCCTGGTTTACTATGTGGACCATCCATTGTGAGGACAGTTTTAAGTTGCTTCCACACAGCCACTTGTTCTGACAGACCTAAATTCACATCGGTTGCTAAGACAAATGGAGGCAATTTCATACCATTTGGATTTAATTATTTTATTTCTATCTCAATGCTGATAGAAGGGGAATAAACCATTGGCTTTTGGGTTTATCAAGGCCAAGTCTACCAGGTGAATGTCGATCATTTTCATATAACTAAAAATTTCTCTGAACTAGAAATTTCCCTGAACTAGCTAGAAATATATCTTAAAAATTAGTCAAATATAGATTTAGCTTCTGCACCATATCCAAATTCCAAACAGGGCTCCACACCCAGGCACAATGAGTCCTGCATGAATAGTTATTTTCCATCCTATCACTGCACTTTTTCAAAAAAATTCTTAAGACTGTTGAGGCAATTCGCTTATAAGGATTAGAGAGTTTCTGAGCTTCAGATCAAACCCCAGCCTGAATTCTTTCAGCAAGATTTATTGCTCTCTGAAGTGAAAAGGAATTGATTAAAATATGCAAAATGTCTGAAGTAAAGCAAAAAGGGAAAAAGAAAATAAAAAAGACAGTTTTTCCACTGTTAATTTTCAAACAGCCTAGAAGGAGTGGGCATGGTCAACTGAGACTTTCCAAGGCTGCCTTCCCCCAAGCTGGTACCCTCTAGATGAGTTGGACCACATTTCCCATCATCCCCAGTCAGCATGGCCAATGGCCATAGTGACTGAGGAAAACTGGATTTGGAGTCCAACATACCTGGAGGGCACCAAGCTGGGGGAGGCTGTTGCAAGATAAAGAGTGTTGAGTCCATGTTCAAAATATTTCATGCAGCCGTTCTCACAGAACATAATAAATTCTTGTTAGTAACTTTATCACCATTTATGACTTTTGTTAATAACTAGCCATAAAAAGCAGGAATGCAATGCACTGTGCAGCAGACAACATTTTGGATGAACACTGTACATCAATAAAAATACCCTACTCCCTTTCAGCATTCTAAGAAATGATAGAGAACTTATGGTAGAAAGGAAGAAAAATGCCAAAGCCAGATCGGGTGAAGCAGTGGAGCAGCTTGCCACACTAAGTACAGCAAAGAGAAACAATATACTGAGACCCATGTGAGTGTCTGCACTAAAGCTCTCTTGAACCTTTCAGGCATAGAGGCTGCCTGAGAGAGTCTACAGACACCAGGAAGCAGGAGGACAGGCATCAATCTTCTTACCCCGACCCCTTGAACACTGATATGTAATTTGGTTCACCCTGCCAGGGCTTGAAATCAATGCAGGTTTTTAGGCGATACTGTTCAAATGCTTTAAGGATGAGCCCCTTGGCATTCATTTCTAGAAGAGAGACAAATGATTTGTTGTTATGCTTCTAAAATCATGCATTTCCGGTGTGCTCTCTAGGAGCTCCACTAGTACTGCTTCAGAGTACAATGTTGATATATTAGGCAGGCAATCCTATACATGTAAAGAAAAAGTCGTACAAGTTTTAGTGATCTATATAATCTATAAAAGTATAATATACTTTTGGCATAGAAACATAACATAAAATACATAGATCAATCTAAATTAATGCAAGAGGACTAATCTAATTTCCTCTACAAAATACCATTGTTCTTTTCTGGGCTGTTTATCTATTACAAGCCTTCTAGCTGAGCATGTAGTCCTGTATATCTTAACCTACATAATTAAATTCATATTTATGTAGGACCACCTGTATAGATGGCATTTTACAGCAGAAGACACACAAACACACTTCTGCATCAATGAAATGACAATCTAAATTTGAGGGTGGGGAGGGAACAAAAGTTGCAAGGCATGAATGTGAGCAACTATCCACATTGCATTTATGATTATCAGTCTTAGACTGGAACCTCTGAGTCTCTTTTTAGAAAAGGTACAGGATCATTCTGACATAGTTATGAGTGAATGCAGAATACAACCACCGAGCACAGGTAAAGCACAGCTTAAACACTTCAATAGTCAGCCAAAACCCCTCCTCCCTCATCCAAACTCTTGGGCAGTCTTCCCCAACTCAATACCCTCCCAATGCTGTAAGACTACATCTCCCACCAGCCACAGCCAGCTTGGCCAGTGGATGAAGTCTGGAGGGCATCAGACTGAAAGGGCTTTTTTAGAGAGAGAGCCTGTTCCAAAAGATACTTACAACCCCCAAACACATGGCTCTGCTTCTCTGTGCCTTTCCTAATCTCTTTCTCAAACTGCACAGACTAGGACTGCAGATTATCCTTTTCACACACAGAAAAGAAGCCTTCATCACAGAAGGGTGTGTGTGTGTGTGTGTGCGCGCACACACACGCACGCACGCGCAGGGGGGGTATTGGAGAATCCAGGTATTTCATCTCTTATGGCCAATAGCTTGCTTTCTTAGTTCTCATCAGATCATAATGGGCTATCATTAGTTTTTTAATTGTCCAAATCAGGGCAACCACACTGATGGTTGTACTCACCAAAACCTGGTAAGAAACCCATAATGGTGTTGCTTATTTTAAAAATGAAATAAGTTCTAAAAATCCTTGTATATTTGTGTAACTTTTAACTGGATCAGATAAGTTTTCTAACCAACTTTTCTGGTCAGCACTGCCACTCTGCACAGATGGTCTAGATGGGTTTGATACTGTGTTGAGTTTACACATAAAATCCTGGGCCTATGTATTATATACCCGACAGCATAGGATGTTTTCTTTTTTATTTGATCATATGAAAAAGTTGGTTTTCCTCGTTTTGTAATATACAAACACATGTACAATTTGTTCTTAAGAACTTGGTGTTCATTTTTAACCGATTCTGGCAAATCTCAGAAATAAATGTTAAGTAAATTAAAAACTGTCCACACTGAAGGCTATGACGGCAACAAGTGACTTAAAAAATTTCACTACCATACCTAGACTGTCCTCAAGGACATATGGAATAGTGTGGGGCCATCGATACCGACTGTCAATAATGGAGTTCCGTGTAGGCTTCTGAAGAGGAAGGCCAATACAAGATATTCAGGGCAAGCAAGTGCAACCATTGAAACTACTAATATCTTCCAATAATTGTAATCCTTTGCCCTTCAAGCAACACCAGCATATGGTACACCTCCGCTTCTCATTAATTAAGGTATACTGACATCTGGATAACTTGGGATAATCTGTTTGGAATCGGGCCTATTGTCTGTATGCCCCTGTGATTTCTCTATAACTGTGAAATCCAGCATGTAACACAAGATTCAACATTTCAAAGCTGGAAGTTTTTCAGAAATGACGAAAGTCCAGCACTGTTTGCTCTTTGTAGTCAGAAACAAAGTCTTGCAAATGTGTGGCTGCTGTCACACACCTTGCCTTAAAGCTCCCTTCGTCCCTGACTGTGGAGCATGCTGACTGGGGCTGATGGGAGTTGTAGGTCAAAACATCTGTCAGGCACTAGGATGAGGAAATATGTACACACACACATTGTGGGAAAGCATCCATGACTTTTGTGTGGGTAGCAGTTTCCGTAGCAACAAAGAACTGCTCTCACTCTAGCAGTCAAGGGCAAAGCTCACTCTAATTTCCCACTGGGAACCCAGTATCAGGATACTTCATAAGCATGAAATCAGCTTTCTTTGGCTGGGAAGGACACAGACATGCTCTAAGGGAAAGGTAGGGCTTACAGGTAGAGGCATGAGTGCCTCCATCATGGAGCTGTTAAGCCCAGAAAATCTAAGACTTGGGAGGAAATAAGGAAGTCTAGGCTCAGCATTCTCTTATCGGTAGTCATTTGTGCTAATACTGCCATATAACTCACCTCATTATCAAGTCTGATGTCACCCTCAAACAGGTCCAGGCCTAAAGCTAAAAAGAAAAATGAAATTCCCATAGAGGTCAATACATTTGAATGGTCACATGAGACAAAAATAAGATTAAAAAATAAAACTTTAGATTGAAAAACCTTCATTGATATCAAAGATATCTTGATCTGCCCCACGGTCTTCATCTATTTCTGGAGGAGTGGGAAGAAAAGAGATTAACTATTAACCATAGTCCTTATATTTCTGAATTATAAAAAGCAATTACTTGGAGGTGTTAGCCTCTGAACTAATTAGCATTTATTTGTAAGGAAGGCTGGAATCCTATACAGACATGCTAGGGATGTTCCACTGAACTCGGTAGGGTTTACTTCTGATCAGGCAAGGATTGGGCCACACTTTGCTTAGGATCAGAATTTTAACATGCCAATGGTAACAATAGTTCTGTAGTGCTCATGATCAGTTAGTATATTTTATATCATTTGATAATACGTAATATACAACTCACCCAGTGGTGCTTGGACGGGCTAAAAGAAAAGAAAAAGAAAAGAAAGCAATGAATACAGTGGCCAAAGTGTTATTTTAAGAATATGAGAGGCGGCTAATAGAAAAACAAACATAAAACAACTACTTTCAAGAAGTTTTGCATTGCAGAGTTAAAACCAGATGATCCATTGTAATACTCTACACTTCAGGATACCTCTACCCCCTCTTGGATGGGCACCTTAATATAGTGAGGGGGTTTTGAGAAAGCCAGAGGGGGTTTTGAGAAAGCCAGAGAAAGCCAGACCAGGCTTTCTCACTAGCCTGGCCTCCTAGCAGGGACACCCAAGGTGGAATGGTCAACACTAATATACCAAGCTAAGATGCATCCACCCTCTTCAGGTGTAACAGTCATGTCAGCAGAAGAGAATGGATATCTCTGATGGTGAAGGAGGCAGAGAAACTGCTGAAGGGAAGGTAATGGGCAGGAGCAGTAATTGAAGGTGACAGTAGAGGAGGATCAGTCTCAGACAATGAACTGCAGTACACCAGGTGCAGGCTAGACACAAGGAAGAACTTCCTGACTGTGAGAGCAGCACGGCAGTGGAACCAGCTGCCAAGAGTGGTTGTGTGCTGTTCCACACTAGATGCATTCGAGAAGCAATTGGACAGTTATCTGACTGGGATGGTGTAACTGGCATCCTGCACTAGCAGGGATTGGACTCGATGGCCCTCTTGGGCCCCTTTGACTCAGCTGTTCTGAGAATCTGTGAATCAGACTGTGGCAGTTGTGCTCAAGCTAACTCTGGTTAGTATTGTGCAGAAGAAGGGAAAGCAAAACCACTTCTGAATAGTCCCCATGAAGAAACAATCCAAATGAAACAAGAGATAGTGCCAGAAGATGAGATTCCCTGGTTAGAAGGCACACAACCAGTTGCTGGGGAAGAGCAAATATGAGTAAGAACAGCACTGTTGCTAATGATGCAACTAGATCAAAGTTGAAAGGAAATCTAGTGGCCGACATGCACAGTGATGGAAGGGAAGTCCAGTGTTTCAGAACTCACACAGTGGCTAAGAGCTGGCCTAGCAGTGGGACTGGAGTTAATGTTCAATGTGAACATTCCCACAGTGTCATACAGTTCCTTCCAAATCCTAATTCGGTCATAAATTAACACTCTGTTGGTCTTAAAGGTGACTCTCTCCTTTCCTAACTTCCCATGCAGATGCCAGGAAAGCAGCACTGTAGGAATGCCAAGGTTTTCAGTGTCAAAACACTCCAGGACATCCTGATTAGCAGGGAGAAGGCATCATCTGTCAGCCCCAAAGAACTCCCTGTGCCCTCTGAATGGTCCTGCAGGCCTCACAGTGGGGGCAAGTGGAAATAGCTAATCACCACAAGAAAATATTGTTGGGATCTATTCCTGGTGCAAAGTATTTGGAAATACATTCATCCCAAATGGGTTGAGCTACTAGTTTTACAAAAAACCTAGAGATAATACATCCAATACACACACACATACACAGAAAGAGAGTGGGGGGAGGGAGGGAGAGAAGGGTTGATCAATACAGTTTGCTGTATGAGTGTTTGGACCTTCCTTCAGAGTGTGGCTGAGGGAACTGTCAATTAAGTGCCTGCATTTCAGAATCCAGCAGTATTAGCACCACCTCCACTGTTAGCAATCTTATGGCCTCTAGACAGCCTGATCATTATGGCCTCCAATAAGAGCTCCAGCCCGGGAGCTATCTATCTATATTTCTTCTCTCTTTCTTTCAATTCAGTTTAAATATATTGAGAAAGCCATTTATGATTTAAAATAAAAGGAATAATGACCCAAACTATTTCTGTTGATGTACTGTTGAAGTTTAGTTAAATGAGCAAAACAGGGAAATATATAGAAAAATACAAGAAAAATTAAGAATGTGCTATGGGCTGGATATAGACTTAGTTAAATTTACAGTAGACTCATTGAAATAAGAGTTAAGGTAGTAATGAATACTAAGTCTCATTATTTCAGTGGATCTTTGCTTAGTATGACTAAGTCTGGATCCAGCTGGATGAAACTTATTGGAAGCCTTAGTTTCAAAAACTCCAATTTTAATAGAATTATACTTTCAAATATATTATAATAGTTTTATAAGTTAATATTGTTCTAATTTTTGAAAATGCATATGGAAATAGTTAACTGAGAGTACTAGGTATGAAAATATGATATTTTCTTTTGTAATGCTATGATAGTCTTGAGAAAACAGGACTACAATATGCAGTCTTATTTGAGACTAAATGCTAAACTGGAGCTAGTATTGAATGTATCTTTCCACATTTCTTAAATGCAAATGCCAGCTACTGGGGGAGGTGATGATTAGCCAGATTATTCTAGAAAGGCATGTACCCCTTTCCTGCCCAGCCACAATCCTATTTTCTTTTTTAAAAGTCACCAATAGGAGATTTCTTTCCATTGTAAACAGCAGCATCAAAGGAGCAAGTTTCATCAGGATCACAGCAAGGGAAGTAAATCTTAAATACTCCCAATTATTCTAAGAGTATCTGCTAAAGAATGGTATACAAAAAATTTCAATAAATAAACAGTATATTTTATTGCCTTACCAGACAGCCAACTATCCTCAGAAGTAACCCATTCAGGAGCACAGAAACTAGCCACAAATCCATGATGTATCACACCTGCAAAAGCTGTGAACTTTCCATATCCGAGCAACTTATAACTAGAGTGTCATCAAACTTTGACCCCTTTATTGTAGATAACCAATGTATACCTTGATCATGCTGAATCAGTTATCACTTACCTCTGCATCTATAAGAAATTTGAGCCAGACCTTATTATAAATGTCTTCCTTCTGATAATTGTTGTTTGTAAGTCACACCTTTAAGAATGTATGTTTTCCATGTAAAGAACCTTGAGCAAATAAGATCAGAGTGAAAACTTAACAGAAAATAGAAAGCTGATTATGCTGGATCAGTTATCATGAAAGGCAGCAAGTGAAAAAACACGAAGGAAGAAAGTGAAAGCCCCTTTGATAATGGGCAAGATGTTGAAAGGCAGGCCATGAAAAGCCTCTTGGCCATGCAAGTCCATTGTTGAAAGGAATGCCCCCCCCACACACACACACCTTTCTTCCTTTTGAATGCTAATTCTTCTAGTTAGATCTGATGGAGAGGCCATAATGAGGAAAGGAAAAAGTGATTGGACTTCTGCTCCCCAGATTTTAGCAGTGGAACATTTCAGCCTTTTCAGGGTACTTAAACACACAATAGATATTACTTTACAGATCTAATCCTATTGCAGATGGGGAAAAGTCCTGGACTTTCCCCTAAGCATGCATAAAATTTTCTTTTTTCTATATTCACTCAATGGTCGACGCAGGGCACTCAACCTAGTTCTAGAACACCCCAGAGTTAAAATGAAAAGGCCTGGCTGCTAGACATTTAAAGTAATCTTTATTTTTCCTAAGTTCCAGAGCAAAGCAATTCGGTATTCTCAAATGGAAGATCTTCCACCTTTGTTTACCTCCCACAATGCCAAGCATGATGCCTCAAAGGAAGTATGATTGTGATGAACACAGACATAGAATCTATGACTTGTTTAGCTATTTCCTGGCAAACAGTAGTGCCTCAGCTTAGCACACCATGGAAAGCTGCTTTGGTCAGCCCATCACATGAAGACTGATGTCTCCAGTAAAGCTCTATGAAAAATTCATTTATGCCTGAATGCCCAGGTATTCGATATCCTACGATGCTCCCAGACAAGGCTTTATTTCTACAACCCCACTGACTCACACATGGAGTTTTAAGAGGGGTCCGGGCTGGGGAAGCCGGTCCCTCCTGTATCAGAGGAGCTCTTCAGCCATTGCAGCTTTTCTTGTCAGCTTTATAGGACCTATCCATAGTGTTCCATGATAGCAAACCTATATTGCATATGGAATTCAACACCATGGATAGCTCCTAAAAAGCTGCAACAAATGAACAGCTTCACTAGCAGCCTTTCCTGGTCCAGGTGACATTGTCTTCAGTTTGTATCGCTCTTGTGTTCTCTCATCATTTCTCTGGTCTTCTTTCATTATGAGAAGGAAAAAAACCTTTAAGGAAGATAGAACAGCTGCACAATACCTTTGGACTGGCAGCAAATTTAGCTTTGGGTGGCTTAGTGTTTAATGAATAATTAAGACCTATTAGCTTCACAATTGACATAGGTAAGAGATGGAACAACACATGCGACTGCAGCTTAGGACTTTCTTTGGATGCCTGGCTAGGAAGACTGTCCTGATGAGAACTTGCACTTCAGAATTTACAGCTTTTAGGAATGCCTTACAGGGTTGGCTTTTATTGGACAGTTTGGGTTTATAGCTGCAATTGCATTGCGGAAGTTAGTGTTACCTTGGCTACGTGTTTTATTGCTGATGTGTATTGTTTTTCACTATTTTTTGCTGTCTTGTCAGTATATTGGTTTGCCATATGGGACTTGTATATCATTTTTCCCTTATTCTAAAAGGCTGAAAGGACTCTCCAAAGGCTCAATTACCTGGCAATAACAGCAGTGAAAATGTACCATCATTTTGATCCTACTCTTTTTGCCTTCTGCCTGCACACCACTGGAGTGCTTCTCTATGAGAACTTCCATGAAATAGAATTTAGTCTTTGGGCTGAAAGTGTGATATCTCCTTGGACAAGAATTGTGCAATGGAACCCTCCCCTGTCTGAGTATTTCATGTTTGCTCATCATTGCCAGGATGGGAGTTAGATGGGTAGCTCTTCACTCTTGTTCACTTTTCCAACTATTGCTCCCTTTTGCATCAGCTCCATTCAGACATAATTGCTTCCATCTTATGACAGGATGTGGCGAACCTCAAACATCTCTAAGAGAGAGGCAAACACTTGCAGTTGTAACTGTATGGCATTTGCAGAATGAAAACTGCCAACATGATCCACCATAATATAAAACCTGCAATATTAAAAAGATAGTTTAAAACCAAGTTAAAAATGGTTATTAATAAAACTACCAAAATTCGATAAAATGGCTTTTTAAAAACCCTAAAATGCCCTATCATGTGCTGCCAAAGGCCTGAGAGAAAAGCTTCATGCTGGTGCCAAAATATTGGCATCAGGTGCTCCTCACTGCAGAGGGTGTTCCACAGCCGAGAGCAGGCCACTAAGGAGGCCTTCTTCCTTGCTGCCCCCCCCAAAACTTCTTTGATGGAAGAGGGATGCAGTTGAGTGCAGCTTAGGGGTAGGTCCGTGCTGGGAGAGATGCTCCATCAGGTATTGCATACCTAAGTGGGATGAGGCTTTATCATCAGAAATTTTATACCAGGTTGGGCAGGCTGCCCTGTGTCATGCGCTGTCTCTAGCAGCAAGAATGATACAGTGCATATCACTGAGATGGATACTAGGACTTGCAGCAGCAACCCGCCCCCCCCCCTTACCTTCAAATAGATTACCCCAACATGACAGGGCTGTCTGAGTGATGCAAATTATTAATTTATTGCCCCCAAACAATAATTTAAAAAACCTGGAGCTTGCTGGGGGCAGCAGTAGGAGATGAGCAGTGTCTGCAACATGTCAGTTCTTTTATGCATCAATAATGATATATCTGTGTGTTTACTAGAACGGGGGTGGGGAAACATAAACACTGCACTGTTTTGTAAATTATGCATAAAGCAGAGTGAAAGATGGGCAAATTAGGTGTAATACCAGGTACTAGTTTGTTTTTGTTAACTTTTGTCCCACAGTAAAACAAAAATTGCATCTTCACAGTGTTAGGTATCTTGTGTTCATCGAATGGTAATCTTGCCAATGAAATCCATTTCCATTCCAGCTCGTAACACGACCAATGGGGAAAGTTTGAAGGAGGGTGAATGCTTCTGCAAGGCACCATAGGTGTCTAGCAGTCTGTCAACAGAGGAGACCCCATGCTGGCCAACATAAAGCTAGAGCACAGGCTTACTGCTTGAACCTGGCATCCTCCAAGTTGTCTGCTAGAATCTCTGGTTCTCTGCTGGACTCGGCTAGACTGCTTCTGGTGAAGCAGTTTCTAGCATTAAGAGGATCCAAAGCATTTGCCCAAAGGAAAAAGCAAATACAAGTACAGTATCATTATGTTGATGGACTGCACAGGAACAAAGAGAACTGTGTTTGCTGGATCAGCAATGCATATTCCCTTATTCTTCTGGGTATATATTTAGCTAGACAAGCCTCAAAGTGTCACTCCTTAGCTCAGCTTTTCCCAACCTGATGCTCTCCAGAAATTTGGGACTTAAACTTCCATCAACCCAACCCAGCATAGCTGATAATTAGAAATCTTAAGTGTTGTAATTTAAAACACCAGGAGGGCAGAGTGCAGTATCAGCTATCAACAACCTTGGAAAATATTATGACACACACACACACATATTTCCAGTGTTATGAGAAACACATAAAAACCTTTATGAGTGAATGGACACTTATTTAAGGGATACTTGTACAACAGATATAGAAGATAAAACAGTTCCAGAATAAATAAATAAATACTTTTACCGGTATTTTTCAAAGAGCTTGGTGCCCCCTAGTGGTGGAATAATATAACCACAAAATGTTAAGAAAGTTTTAAAAGACATTGCCATTAAATTTTCACATGACATATGAGAAGAAAACTATCAGCCTGCCAGACCTTTCAACATCGTGATAGCCCTTCCTTTAATACAGGTGATTTAGAAGTGAACCATCCCCACAAGAAGATTATAGTAAAGTTTGAGATCCAGTACAGAGCCATTTTTTGTTTTTAGGTATTTCCAGATAAGGCTTTTATTGTCCAGTTGCCCAGCCTCCTTGGAATTTTACAGGGGGTCAAGATGCAGTCTTGTTCCACTTACAATCCTCCTACATTTTCTTGCTAATTCTTATCTTTTTCTTTACTCAAGATAAATGCTAGGCTGCCTTTGGATTATAACGCTGGGGACCCTCTGTCTAGAAACACCTTTGTTTCAAACAAAATGCAAAGAGCAACTGTGAAAGTGGCAATGATTAGGAACAGACTCTTGAGAACAGTGGATGTCTTCTTCAGAGCAAGATATTTATTACAAGTAAGTCATTATTTATCTTGCTCTTTTAAGCCTATTTTCAGAATTTTGCAGCCCTGATGAAGGAGCCAACTGTATCAAATAGTGTTGGAATGCATTTAATTGTAATTGTCAGTACTTCTGATTACTCATTTCTTTTAGCATTCTAAAAATGCATTTTTGCCAACACGTTAAGTTTAGTCACCATATTCCTCAGAGTCTGGAAGCTCCATGAAGGGCAGAAGCCACTCTGCTTCTTCTAGGACTGTAAAATTTGGAAGTAAGGTTGAATGAAGATTCCTTGATGCATTCCTTCAATTTAGGGAATTAAAAGGGAAATTTCTAAAAAGCAGTACCAAGTTTTCACTGACTGGACTATGGCAGGCAGTATTAACAAAGAAGCAGCAAAGAGAATGGAAACACCAGCTTGGGAAAAAATTCTGTATGCTTATCAATCAAAGAGGGGACCTTTGGCAGTTTTAGCACTATACAGGTACTTGCCAAGTAAGATTCATACTAGATGATAAAACACCAGCTAAAGATTGGAACTGGAGGAAGTGGTTATTGGGAAGTAGAGTAACTTTTCCCTCCCACCCTCTTTTCTAAAGAGAGTTATCCTCTCCATCTCATATTTGTGCAACAATTTTAAGGAATGGGAGATCCAAACACAAGCCTCCATCATCTTGTTTAATTTGGCCTTCAGAAAAAAAAAAGAACTTTTATTTGAGGAGATTCTAAGAAATGTCTAAATGTTATCATAAATTAAGCTGTATATCAGAACAAGCTAGTCTCAAATAACCACCACACTTTGTGGAAGAGGTAACCACAAATACGAGTAAGGGTGCAGTGCAGTGGGGATCACCAGAACCCTCTGAACTTGGAGGATTAAAGGCATCCCATACAGAGCTCCATGAATTCTGCAAAGTAACCGGATGTTTGATTTTGGATGTCTAATTGCAGTGTTTAGGAGTGGGAGGGAAGAAACTGTGGATACATTGAATCCTGATGTCAACCTGTTCCCTGCCCTGCCCTCTTCCCCAAACACTAAACCCTTCTCCAAGCTGTTCTTTCAACTTTCAGAAGCAGCCAGCATGGTTCTTTTCATGCTGGCCAAGAGGAAGGGCAGGGGGAAGGATCCAATCACAGAACTCCAGATCTTTTCTGGAGCTCTTCTCTAACCTTGGATCTGGGAATCTGAAAAATTCTATGGCCCTCTAAATGGTGTTGAGTGGCCACAGGATTCCTCTCATTTTAATAGCAAGTCAAGCACACTATTCTCAGTTGCATACAATTTATAAAAATACTGTTATGTATTCTCCAGTTCTTTTAACAGCAAGAAATTCAGACTGTGTATTAAATGGTAGACTGTATCAGACTGTATGTGATGCAGACACTATTGAAGACTCATGGTGTCATTGTATACTGGCTTTGTTTAGAAGTATATACATGAGGCATTGCAGAAGAAACACAGAGGACGTGAGGCAATAAAGCTATTCATTTTGCACCAGTTACCTAAAGTGGCCAACTGCACTCCAGTGACAATTAACTAATTGCCTCTAATATTCCTGCTGAAGACTATGTTCTTTCTCTCTCTCATTCACATGCACACACATGGGGGGAGAGCACACATGAGTGTGCTTATCCTGTAAATAAATGGCTCATTCAGAAAGTTATAATTAGTTATTAGCTCTCATTCAGAAGATTTCACAGATCACCCCTGATTATTACCCAGCAATCAGATTTTAAAAGGATGTTAAGCCAGTTGCCATTATATCATACTCTTCTCAGAAAGCTTTGCCTTTCATGACAAGCTGGCTTGAAAGCTGATGGTAGGAAGTCTTCCTTGGGATAGTCAAATACAATAATAAACATTTAAAATATGAAAATGGCTATTTATATATTGAAAAAACATTGTACTACTGTTTAGCTATTACTAGTAAATGTTTTAGCCTGTAGGAAAACAAAGCCCAACCCCACCAGGCTGTTGCAGCAATAAAATTAAAGAGGAAGTGACTGAGTCTGAATGATTACTGTGAGCCTGGGGTGCTTTGGAAGCATACACCTTATCAGATATGGATGACATGGGATAAACAGGAAAAATCATGTAGGGTGCAGCCAGCTTGCATGGGATAAGGGAGCTGAAACCACTGTGGCTCCTTTTCCCTGATGACCATGCCAAGCTAGCCAATATTGACTCCTTTCAAAAAGCCACTCATATGGGCTCCAGTACATGTTTAACTTCATGAAAGCAAGCATTTTTGCATCTGTTTCTGTTGTGGTTCACATAGTTGCATTTCTGACTCTTCATAGACTCTCTCTACCCCACCCCATACTTAGCTGTAATGGTAGGTGCATTGACTGGTGAGGGTAGGTGAAAATAGGCTGCCCCCGGACACCTTGCTTAGCACTCCATGAAGTGCTCTACCCCGCCGCCCAACATATTTAGAACCACAACTTTTTGGCAGCTGGAAGCACTTCAAAGAAAAGTGAGGACATCTGGTGGCTGCCATCTTTATTTTCCATGAATACATCCGGGCTACATTCTTAAAAGCAATGATGCTAGTTCCATGCAAGCTGCTGTCTTGTAAGCTTTTGCTGGAGCTAAGAAGAACACCAGGGGGCTGGGAAGAGTAGTTGGGCTCTAGGAGGGGCAGAGGCAGGCCATGGGGGGGGGTCAGGAAAGTCAGCAGGATGTTAGCGGGTATCATGAGGGGCTTAAGGGAGAGGCAGAAAACTAGCAGGGGCTCAGGAAGGTTGCGGAGCAGACCTGAGGGGTACAGGATGATTGTGTGCTTACATATCTGAATGAACTGGTTCAAAGGAGTTCTTTAATGTGTTAGGATTCAGGCTCCTGCACTTACCACCTCTTATACTCAGTCTTCTGGGCAATTATTAGCCTTTTGTGACTAGCCATAGCTTCCCAGAACAGGTTCTTAAATGGCCAAGCTTGTCCACAGGTACATTAATCCCTATCCTGCTCCTTTATAAAAGGATTCTAATAACTTCTTAAATGCCTAATTCGTTAAAGGAGCTTTGTCCATTAAGCTTACTGCTACCTTAGATCTTGGTTTACTACCACATGTACTTTTAAGTTTATTCTATGGTTCTTGCTTGTGTTACTGAGTGAAAATATCTATTGCCAGTGTAGTTCTACTCATGTAGTACCTTATTTAAAAATTTCTCTTTCCAGTTTTTTACCATAAAAAGTATTCTTCTATCAGTCATAAATTTAGCATATAGCTTTCTATCTATCTATAAATGCCTATTAGGTTGCAAAACAAAAGGTATCTCAGAGGTACGGAAAATCCTTAAAAATATTTAAACTGATTTTTCAAATTTAACTAAAAATATATCACAAATCTTGTAAATGGATTGATAATTACACAGTCTTTATTACAAATCACAACTGTGCAAGAATTAGTTTTGAGTAGTCCAGAGAACTGTAATCCATGTAATAAAACAATGTAATCCATTCATTATAATGTTCTTCTCATGGTTTCCCCTTAGTTGTATCAGTTAATTAACTTATGGTCACATGCATTTTTTGAGACTGAAAAAAATTTCAACACAAACCATCCAGAATCTTTGTTTAAAACAATAGTTAATTGTTAATGTATACCCAAGGAAAAAAATCAAATCACTTTTCCACAGAAACACAGCAGAAAACAAGTAGATCCCAAAACCAGCACACACCCCTGAAAGGCACTGCTGCACTCCTGTGGAAGAATTTTTAGTTTCCCTCGCAAAGCAGGTCTTTAAAAAAAAAAAAAAATAGCCACCATCGACAATGCAAAAAGATAAGATGTGCAGCAAGCAAACAATTAGCATATATGTGCAAATTCCATTATCAGCAATTAGAAATTTTCTTTTATTGCCTGAAAATAACTGGAGCAGAACCCAAAGCATAATGGAAACATGGAAGAACAAAGGAGTGATACTGAGAAAATCTACTGGTTCCCATTTATAATTATACCTATAGCACAACAATTGATTCAAATTTCCAGGGCCACTTTTTAAACAAGTAAATTTACTTGAAACTATGTTCAATATTTATTGAAACTATGCTCAGTTAGTGGAATTTTTAGTTAATTAAGCTTTATCTAAGATCAGTATTGGCTTAAGTCATATATTACCCTCATATGGTATTTTGAAGAAAAAGTGTCTTATTTGCTACTTTAAAAACACCTGTAGCAGGTTAATATTATCAAGGTATAGCAGCCCAGTATCTATTCCTTCTGTCTCAGGTTTTCATAAAGAACAGGAACAAATTTTCATAAACCCTTCCTAAAACTTGTAACAGGTCTCAAACAGACAAAAGTGAATTAATGTCAAGAATTTTAACAGACTAGTATAGAGGTAAGAGGCTGGAGGAATACTTAGTGGCAGGAGGCCTTTATATCAGCAAAACTGAATACGTCATTGCTGGCAAAACTGTAGACTATGATTACACTATCACAGTGTTAGGCTTAGTTAATGTTCGCTATTACTTACAGTTCCTGGACAGCAATTAAGAAAATCATTGTATGTTATAGTTCTTATATATAGGCAATAACTGGAGGTAAGTAATGGGGGAGAAGAAAACAATTTAGCTTTTAACTAATGACAGAAAATATAAAAATATTTAGGATATGAACAAGAAAACGCAATTAATCATGTGAAGATGTTTGCCCTCATTATCAACATTCCATTGTAACATTTCAACTCTTGTGCTAGTACAGCAACAAAAATACCCTATGGTATAACAACACCAACAACAGAAAAATTGCTGAAAATAGCTCCATCCGCTCTCCAGGACAGCAATATTCTTCCCAGATGCTTGCTGTGTTTCTATGATTACTTGGAGCAGGGGGAAAGACTTTGTACTAAAACATAGGATGATGCGCTTTTCTTCTTTTTGTTGGTTTAAATAAAAATCAATTTAAAATGAAGTCAACCTTGGGGAAAAGAAAATTTGCTGTTGAACGGAATACAGAGTTCACTTTTATTAACATTGAGACCACCAGATGCAGCTTCCCCCCTCCCCCTTGCAGATGATATGAGGAAATTAGAGGCTTCAAAGGTTCACTTGACAAGACTCCTCAACAGCATTTTGAAACAGAGTGTCCTCATCCAGCTGAAGGTTCTGAACAAACAAAACAAGGTTGGATTAGAAACAAGCTTTCAAGTCAGACTTACTCCACTCCAACTGAGTGCAATATATACTGTGCAATACCGTGAAGAGAACCTAAGGAAAACAAATGTGTAAGACTAGCTTTTGTTAAAATTATTCAAGTGACCATGTAGAAAAGAAGACTGACATTCTGCTTATTGATATGACAATAGCTGTGAGATTGTGTATTACTAAAAACTAGAAAACTAAAAATGATTATAAGGAATGGTTGTAGAAACTTTGACAAATTATAATTATGAGTAAGGTGACTGCTATGATTTATTTCTGATCAGAAAATTAAAAGGCACTGCAGCTATTTGTGTGGGAATAAGAATTGTTTGTTCACCCTTAAAACCAGCCTAAAATTAATTTTAAAGAAACAAATACAGTTGTTCCATTTTAGAGAAAGTTTACTCAAGAAAATATTAAGCAGCTAATATTGCCTATGTTACAGGATATAATTTAGGGGCAGTTAACTAGCTAAAGCACTTCTTTTAAACAGTTATTTTTCTACAATTATTTTTTTAAAGTATCATTCTATATTCTGTGTTGTGATAAAGATAAAAATACTAAACCAAATGAACTGGGTGCTCAAGTTCCATAAGCATAAGGGGGGAAACTCCCCCAAATATCCACACACTTGTATTCTGCCTTTACTCTAAGGGTCTCAGGGACTGTCCTTTTTCCATTCCTGGTCACTTTACGCACATACCTCTGTTGTTTCCCTTCCTAGAATGTAAGAAAGTAAAAGACTTCTTCAGTTTGAGCTAACCTCCTCCTTGTTGGGGGTTTATATTGTTTGGGATGGAGAGAAACTATTTTTATAATATTTACATTTTGAATGGGTAGTCTCTAGGTACATTCTGCAAATGGACAAACATAGATATTTTGTCTGCTTTTGTTGAATTCTCTGTATAATTATGCCCAAGGACAGTAGCATATCTTGCTATATATAAACTGTACAACAGTATACATTGCATATGTATCCATCATCATGGATCTATTCAAAATTCACATAAGAGAACTGTAATACTTTATCTTGGAATTAAAAAACAGTATGTGGGACTGGAGAATGTAGACTGGAGAATGAAGATTGTTTTGTTCAGACAGCTGATGGTATTTCAAAACAAGAATCACCCTCAGTTGTGTATAGTCAGTCCACAATTGCTTCTGACAAACAGTTTCTATGTTCATTTGTATGCTACCATGTTCACCAGCTCACCTTGCTGTACAAGTGATTTAAGCAATACAACAGTGGAAACAGCTGCCTAGAGAGGTGGTGGGCTCTCCCACACCATTCAAAAAGAAGCTGGACAGCCATCTGAGTAGGATGGTGTAACTTGGTGTCCTGCAATAGCAGGGGGTTGGACTTGATGGCCTTCATGGCCCCTTCCAACTCTTCTATGATTCTAAGCTTTCTTTGTAACATGTAGGTGGTTGAAGCATAGTGAACTAAAAGGGATATATACCCTCTCCCCCACTTCCTGGCTGCTCTGTTGTTACCATCTCTTTCAACTTGGAGCAACTACGAATTGCCTGAGACGGAAAAAGACTGCTCTCTTTTCCAGCAGCAGCAGCAAATGGGCAGGTGACCAAGCAAAGAAAAAGTTACTATGAAAGGAAAGCAAGCACACAGTTTGCCTGAATCTTTACTATTGCTGCTGTGTCCTGCGGGGAAAAAAGCATTGTTTTTAGAAGAGAACTTGAGAGAGATGTGAAGCAACTTCTTCATGTCTCAGGCTAGTGGCTGCCATTTACCAACAGAAAAGGAGGGAGGTGGCACAAAGCAGCAGATCAGCAGGACAGTATGTAACAGTGCTTAATTCACTGTTGTTACAGCTGTATGCATATTAAAACTAAAAGCCAAAGCATCTTCACAGAGTTGGGGGCTTCCTTTTATTTGCAAGGCTGTATATACCAATTTTTGCACATACCTGAATCCATCTGAGAAGTCTACAAAATCTGTTTGACCAAGAGCAACAGTAGGCCAAAAGAAAGGTATGCGGGAAATATAATGACTAAACAATATATTGCAGGAGTAGGCAAACTTCTTCTATGTAGATACATTTGGCAATTTGAGAAACCATCCTGTGTGCCATCACAAAATGGCTTCATGGGGAGCATAGCAACAGGCAAGTAACCTGCTCAGAAGTCTGAATATAAGGCAGAGGTGGGGGATTGGAGCTCCAGCACACTGAACTGTTGCTCTGAACCCAGAATTTCCAGCACTGGCAAAAACTGCTTTCATAGCAATTCCAGTTGCCAGTAAGGAAAATTAAAATAAAAAAGCAGGAAGTGCACTTTGGTTGGTGCCACGGTATCTGGGGATGCACTGCCTCCCACAGGCACTGTGCTGTCTCTCTCTGCTATATGGTCTTTCTCTAACTTTAGTGAGAGTTAAAAACTATTCAACAATCTCTACTATTATTATCAGTTTTAGATTGGTCCACAATCTACCAAGACAGTTGTAGATTTTCAACAGTATTTTGACAACTTAAACTTATAAACTACTGAGCTTCTATAGCTTTTTCTACTAAATTTAATCTGGAATAGATGGAGGTCTAATAGATGGAGGTCTTCCAGAACAGAAAAAAACCCAATATTAACATTTCAAATTTAAAATGCAAAGTTTTTACCATAAAGTCTCCATAATCAAGTTGATGTCTTTGATTTAAATGGCCAACAAAATCTCTTGTAACCTGGTTAGGGTCTCCCCATGGAAGACACACACAAATAGGACAAATCTAAAAGGGAGAGAAGGAGAGAGAAAGAATAAGCGGTTACATATAATCCTGATTTGTTCATTATTAAGAAGAAATACATATGATTTCTCACATGGAAGAACAGGGCAGTTCTTCCTCTCATGTTCATACATCTTAAAATTAAGATAATTTCAAAAAGCAAACCCTTATAGACACTTCAAAACACACAAACTTACTACTGGATCAATTTGATAAAGATGACTGTCATTACAATGATCCAATAAACTCTGTCTTGTGAAGTTACTCTCTTGACATATAGGGCATTTGAATGTAGGCTGCACACTGGAGGAAAAAAAGATAGGGTCACACAGTTGAAAATGAAATTCAGTATGTTCCAAGGACCTTTTCAGAAAGAATTCAAGCACATATGAGTTGGCATAGCATATTAGCCATTGCACATTTAGTCTGTAATCCACACATACTTTCCTGGAAGTAAACTCATTTAACTCAATGGGGCTTTCTTCTGAGTAGACAATGACAACGTTTTACTTCATCTGTATACTGCCCAAAGCGCTCTGGATGGTTAACAACTCATAAAAAACAAAATAAAATATAGTACAGATTCATAGGTATGTTCAGTAAAACTAGATTGCTGCAGACGTAAGTCTCCTAAATGCCATTAATAGACATTAAATAGTTCAACAGTCTTAATCTAGCACTGGAAAGGTAACAGAGTTAGAGCCAGACAGGCCTTACTGTAGTAGTATTCCAGAATCAAGGAGCCACCACTGAGAAGGCTCTCTTTGTTGTTGTCTCCAACTAAGTTTCTCTTGGCAATGGGTCTGAGAGGAAGGCTTCAGATGTTGAATGTAATGTCCAGGTAGATTTTGGGTAAGAAAGGCACTCTGGCAGGTATTGTAGCCCAAAGCCATGTCTATTTTTATAGATTAAGTCCAGTAACTTGAATTAGGCTCAAAAGCAATACAAGTGGGCCAGAATCCCTATCATATGTTCAGAGCAACAGGCCAAAGGTTTTAATCTGGTGATTGAACTTTGCACAAGCTGCAGCTCCTAGACTGTCTTCAAAGGCAGCACCATGTAGAGTACATTGCAGTAATCTATTTTAGTTGTTATCCAGAACATAGATTACTGAAACCTGGCTAGCCCCATACAGCAGCATAGTTGGATCAAAAACCAAAGCTAGAAGGCACTCCCTGACACTGAGGCCACCTGAGTCTCAAATGACAAAGATAACCCCCAAGCTACAACCTGCTCCTTTAAGGGGAATGCCACCATATCTAGAACATTTTAAATACCCTCCTTATGGTCAGAAGAACCACCCACTAAAAATATCTCAGTCTTGTCTGCCTTGAGCTTCAGTTAGCTCTCATCCAGTCCTGTTGCAGCTATGTACCAGTTAGCCTATACTTTTTCATTCACAGCCTCATCTTCTGGAGATGAAAGAGAAAAAGAGCTGCGTGTCATCAGCAAGTTGATGGCGATACATGCTTAACTCCAGATGAATCCACTCAGAAGTTTCATGTAGATGTCAAATAGCATGGGGGACAGAACCGATCCCTGGGCAACTGCATTTGGGAGAATCCATGGAGCCAAGCAACATTCCCCAAGCACCATGTTCTGGATGCAATCATTCAAGCAGGAGTGTGATCACTGCAATACAGTTGACCCCCAGTCCCAACTCAGACAGCCACCCCTGCAGGATACTATGCTCAATTATATCAAAAGACACTAAGCATTAAATTGCACTGTAAGTGTATTTTCTGGATGACTTGAGCAGAAAAGTAGAAGGCTTACTTTCAGTCTATTCTCTCTCTCTCTCTCTCTCTCTCTCTCTCTCTCTCTCTCTCTCTCTCTCTCACACACACACACACACACACACACACACACACACAGAATTCCTTTTAAAAAATCAAGTACAACTGTTGTGGAACTATCTTTTTCACTTCACTAGGGAGCAACCACTAAAACCATCAGCTCCAGCCCCCCTTGCTCAGTGCAGGACTCTAACAGATGGCCATTCAGCTGCACCTTGAATCTCCCTAAAGTGGGATGCTTTGTGTAGGATTTGACTTTTAAAAGACAACAAATAAGAGAGAGTCTTCTGGGAATGTGGTTAATTCACTGTGCATTGTTAGGGACAGTTCTGTTTTATAGATAGTTAAGGCATCTAAATGTATCCAGAAAAGTGGGGCTGCAGAAGAATATCATAACCTGCAGTTTCCCCTCTCAGTCACAGTGATGAGCAGCACAAGATCTTCACCTCCCACACAGGTAAAGCAGTAAGGCTTATACTCCCAACACTCTTGTTGTCATAAACCTCTCCACCTACCCAAGCCTCATCTTTATATAGTCAAATGGAAAAGTTCAAACTGTACTCTAAAATGTGAATATTCTAATTATTATACATTCAAAACAATTTGTCCAACTTTGAGAGCAAATATATCAGGTTAGTAGCATTAGTTGGCCAAATGTCAACAAAATTCAGATAAAAAAAATCTGAGAAACCAAAGGTTAAGGAAGAACTTTTTCATCCATTTGCAACCATTTTTGCACACTCAAAACACACGCTTCAGATTCTCTGGTCAGCAATAAAGTTCCACAATAGATATATACTCTAATGTTACCCTAAGTCTCAATAATCTGGGACAAATGCACTTAATATTTATTTAATACTTCAGACCTAGTATTTAGATTTTAATAAAGTACACCCCTCATTTGTGATTTCCAAATTATTTTGCTGTTCCCTCCCCAAATCTAAATAGGTATTGATTTCAAAAGTTATCCCTACCTTGTTGCTTCTTCAGGAACATGTAGATTAGAATTTTCTCCAATTTCTGAAGTAGAAGAATCACTCCTAAAACTTCATTAGAAGGGTGACAATTAATTTAAAGTGAAATACAGAAAGAGTTGCAATGCTAAGCAGTAGGATAAACATGCAAATCCTACTGATACTAGAAGGACTTGCTTTCAAATCAGTGTTGAGGTTTGGGCTATAGATATTATCTACCTTTGATGGAAAAAAATACTTTGGAGGAGCACTGAATAAAGGATCTGAATAAGTCCCCGCAATACTTGCAGTGACTGGAAAGGGGTTAAAATCAATGCATAGAAAGGAACATCCCAGCCCCGCTTCCATTTGTCACCGGCAACAGTTGTTCTGGAGGGCATTCGTCTGACAAGGAGAGTAGTCTGCATCTACAGAGGCTCACTACATGAACCAGAATGTGGGTTTTTAGCATTCTGGCTCACATGAAAGGTTTCCATGGATACATGAAGTTCTCCTCTTTGGACTGTTGCTCTCCAAGAGTAGAGGGTGACAAATGCAGAAAAGGAGAGGGGTGGAGCTGGAGTGCTTCTTCTCCTCACACATTAACTTCAGTCTTTTCTGGATGCCTGAAAAGAACTCACTTCATGCATCATACAAGTCTACAGGTCAGGTCAGGTCATGCAGCTGTCCTCTGCATATAGTTTCCATATGCTACATTTACAGGAATCACTGCAGCCACAGCCATATTATTCCAGCGCTATCCAAGAAAGAATTTATTTGGAGTCATCATGAAATGCACAAAATGAAGTAAAATAAGATATATACTTGACTCATCACATTATAATCACATGTGAAGACATTCTAACCTACACTGTTACATATTTCCCCCCACATCAAATCTAAAGCAGCATACACTAGTTTAACATCAATTTAAACATTAATTAACATTTCTAGTTCTACCTGAAGTATGAATTACCTGTTTCCTGTTGAATCCTGAGAGATGTCTAAGTTTGGAATTACAGAAGACACACCATATTCATCTTGATACTTCTTACATGATTTATAATGCTGTCTCATACGAGATAATTTAATCTGCAAATAAAGTTGTCTCTCATTTAAATTTTAAAAGGCAATGTTAAAAGGCAAACTATATCCTTGATTAGTTCAAGGATCACCAATGAGGTATCCATAAGCACTTTGAATGGCACCCACAAAGCGATTTCCAACCTGGTGCCCAAAGGCAGCCAACGTTTTTTAAAAATCCCAATTTTTTGAACATAAATACATTTGTATGAAATGCATACAGCTTTCTAGCAATCACACAGAGGCTTTAATAATAGTAGACCAAATATCCAACAAGTATCCTTTTTTAGGTTCCATGTATTTATCACTGGCTTAAAAGCTGAAAGCAATGTAAGGTTCCCAAGTCACTGTGTTACAGGAGGAGAATGCTTGTCCTTCCAAAGTTGTATGATCAACTCTTAGTTCTCAAAGGGGTGCAGAGAATCTATTTATGTTGGCCATTTGTTGATGTTCATTAATCAGGTAAATAATATACTAAATATTTAGGATTTTATTGTTTTAATGGATATGAATTTGATTATCGTTGTAAGCCGCTTAGAGTTAGCAGCATACAAGTATAAAAATAAATAAATAAATAAATATCAAATGCTGTTCTAGTACAAAGTTTATCTGTATAATAACATTTGCTCAGAAGAGACAGGTACTGGACATTGCCAATACATGACTGGAAAAAGTATTAGCAGTATTCTACCACTAGATGATGCCCATAGCAGTTTCTCAAATTCTCAAGTTCACGGGTTCAGAAAGATTGGGGAACTCTGAGCTAATTCATGCAACATTCTACAGAACCCTTTTTATTTGCATCTCTAGACCAACAACCTACCTAGGCAGTAACATATAAAGTGTTCTCATGTTTTTTTGTTGTACTGAGTCCAATACAAGGGCTAAACAACTTTGCTGGTGCCATCCAGCAAAAGTCTACAGTACTACCTGGTTTAAACTTCAGCAACACTTTGGAGGGGATGACACTGATTGGCCATCTTTAAAAAATTGGTTTTCAATTCTGAATATGTGAAATAATTTCATAATTTTTAAATGGGTCTCAGTTTAGCACACCTGCAGAAGTATGCAATTCCACAGGTCCAAAACTGGAAAGCCTCACCTGGGCAGCTGGTATGAACTCTTGGCACTGACCCAGAGAGGATCCAAATGAGCAGGGGAATTGATTTGCTTTCCCCTGACAGCTGACAAAAGGTGAGCTGTCAAGTCGGAGCAAAGCCATGAGTGATCTTTGCTTGTGGCCAGCACATTAGCCTCTTTGCTGCAAGATACTCAAGGTTCTGAATCTCCTTCCCACAAGTCCCAGTGCTCCTAATTTTTCCACCCATATTTGCTTGGGAAGGTAGGTGCTTGGGAAAATAGAAAAGTACGCCCTCCTTTTTTGATCACACTTGCTTTTAATAGCTGTTCATATATATACTTTTTTGTCCACATTGACTTGACAGCTGTCAGGAGAAAGCAAAATAAAATTCCAAACATTTGGAACACCTCTGGATCAAGTTGAGTGTTTGTACTTGCATACCTCCACAGTTGCACAAGTCTTACTAAATTAAAAACACAAAAATAAAAACCCAGGTTTTTTTCTTTTTAAAGAAAAAGATGCTCAACCACTGACTGCCCCTGCAGTGTGCTGACTGGCACTTTGAAGGGGGTTTCACTGGCTGCCAATTTGGAAATAACTGTTTGCAATCTCTGAAAAACAAAGAAGATAAAGAGGGAAAAAGCCATGGTGAGCAAAAAGAGGCTTGTGATGGTGAGCAGCAGGCCAATTATGGCCCTTGTGAGGTGACCATCACTGGCAGTGGCCAGAACAAGTTTGGCAAGAATGTTAAGGGTTCTTGCCAAACTGTTAATTAGCTGCTTTTCCCAGTATATGCAATGTAACTAGCTACCCAGGTGCACACAATGTGACAACCCATCATGGGTCCAATAAGTCCTACAACAGGCTATTAGTGGGCAATGTGGTTTGGTGCCCTCAGATAAACTGTTCTGTTGGAAACAGTCTGGGTTTGCATGATAGGACACCCCACTGCCAACTATGGGCTGCTATATATGTTAAACCAGTCACTGTGCTGCAATTCTGTTTTTTTTTTCCTCATTCTGTGTAATGAAGAAAGACAAAACAAGTAGAAGAAACATACTGGAGGGTTACAAGTAGAAGATGACAATAGCTACACACACACACACCAGTAAAATCCCACAAATGAAACAGAGATGGCACCCAAAGAGCCTCATCCGTAAGCATCCCTAGCTTGCTTAGTATAGACCAGGGGTCGGCAACCCGCGGCTCTGGAGCCGCATGTGGCTCTTGAATCCCCCTGCTGCGGCTCCATCGCTCACAGCCCCCGATCTGCGACCCGCGCCGGCACGGGACAGCCCCCGATCTGTTTCATAAATGCAACACACTATAGTTTTGTTATACATAGCATAAATGTAAAAAATGATAAATGCAGTGTTATTTTCTTTTTCGAGGTGAAAAGAGTTTTGCGGCTCCCAGTGTTTTCTTTTCTGTGGGAAACGGGTCCAAATGGCTCTTTGAGTGTTAAAGGTTGCCGACCCCTGGTACAGACCCACTGAAATTAGTGGAGCAGTTGTCTCACTGATTTCTATGGTCCTACTTTAAACACAACAAAGTCTGGATCCAATCCTTTATCAGCGAAGAAGCTTCAGTAAAGTCCTTTAAACAAGTACTTTCAATACCACTACCATTTTTAGTTCATGAGACTGTATCCACATATCTTTTCCTTGATGAACGACAGTGTGGAAAGGCAATATTATCAGTACTCACATTTGTCTGTGAGATTCTGCCCTTTCTCAGGTGTCTTCATAATGCAAAACTCTGGTAGCAGACAAAGATGCACCACCAGCTACCCAAAAGATGGTATTCAGCACAAATTATTATGCATCCATACTCAGATGTAAGTGCCAGACTGCGTTTGGTGAGGCTTACTCCTATGTAAGTCTGCATAAGAATGCAGTCTTTACCCACTTTTAAGATTATTTAAAATCTACTGTACCTGTTTGTCACAGCATCTGCAGCTCCCCATCAACTTTTTCATGTTGTTTTCAACATCTAAGGCTCTGTTGGGACGTGCTTTCTCTTTTCTGGTTACAATGCCTCGGCATAATGGGCAATGTGTTCCACCCTCTTTCATAGCCAATAGGAAACATTTCCTGCAAAACCTGAACCCAAATATAAATTGGCATATAAAAATAATATTCTGTTTTATCAGCAATACTCCTATTACAGTATGTTTCATTAAAGTCATTCTGTCATAATGCATAGATGATACCATATTATATAGGCTGGCAAAAATCCCAGGGGACTGCAAAAAGCACCAAAGAGATCTCTCTAAATTGAATGAAAACTTAAAATTAGATGCAAGCCTTTAATTTGTTGTAACAACAGTATCATCGACAGTACATATCTTGTTGCACTAGAACTAGAAAACATGTACAGTGGTAAGGGAGGAAAAGACCTGAGAGTTTTCTTTCTCTCTCCTTCTCTGTCTTGTCTTTCTTTCTGCCCCTTCCTCCCAGAATCCTATTTCAGTGAGGGAACCATAAAAGAGGGTGAGGGGAACATGGGGGCAATCCTGACCTCTACACTCCTCCATTGGATGTGTGCTATCTTCTGAATTTGGAAGCTGCTCTAAACACTACAAATCAAATTTGTAAAACGTTATCTCATTTCCAACAATAATTAACTGGAACAAATGAATTATCTGAAGGTATCAATACCTACAGAAGGTACCTGGGAAATCTTACATGTTCACATATTCATTGTGTGTGACAATTGAAATCAAGAAGTCTTAGCAGATACAGTTTAACAAGTACAAACTCTATGGAGGGAGTATGCAATAGTTATTCAGGAAAAAGTACCTTGTATCTGTATTAGTCACATGCCTAGAAATGGATTGGAGTACTTACAAGATTACAAATCTTGTTTAGCATCTCTTAAATAATTTTTTTATCAATGAAAGTGGAGTTAAAAAAGAAAACATTCTCAAAATAAATGTTCAAATCCTTACTGAAAAATATCTAGCAGTATATTGCTACAGTAGAATTGTAAACATAATAATTGTAAACAGAAAAGTGGGCCAGAGACACAGATACCTACACATGATGACAAATGGAAATCCTCACAGGTGTTTTGAATACATCTTGACAAACAGGACAGTAATAGTCATCTTCATTGAAACAAATTGTGGCAGGTTCCTCATTCATGGCAGCAAATTGTGATATTCCTAAAAGTAATTGGAAAAAAGCTAGATATAATCACATTACGTGGTAGAAAAAACATAGGCCAAGGCATATCCCTTTCATTTGCCTTGTATCTTGAATCTTTTGCTTTGGAAAGGCTTCCCCAGGATTTTAGATATCCCAATAGTGAGCATAATGAGGATGATTACATTCTATTTATATCCTACCTTTTCTCCTCCTTCAAGGACCTCAAAGTGGCTTGGTTTAATGCTAAGATTTGTGACATCAGATAGAAACAATGCTGCCTGATGTTCTCTTTAGCTCAGAAAAGGCAACCTGGTACCTTCCAGATGACTTGGACTACAACTTCTAACAACTGCTCCTATTATTTCATGTTGGCTGAGGCTGAAGAGGGTTGTAGTCTGGAAGATACCAGGTTCCCTACTCCTGCTGCAGCACATCTTGTTTGAGATTAGATATATATTCCAACTTTCTTCCTCTTGCAAAGAAGTCTAGACAGTTGTTATGGTCCTTTTCCTCATTTTATCCTCCTAACAACTTGTGAGGTAGATTAGGTTGAAAGACAATGACTCTAATCCAAAGTCACCCAGTGGGCTTTATGGGAATTAGACAGTTTTCTTGAGTCCCAGACCAACACCCTAACCACGTCACTACTTTGGATTAAGAACCACATGATGTTCCATTGATGTGGAATGAAGTCTGAAAGAACTTCTGATGGTGGCAAAGGTAATTCTGTAGCATGACACTGGATTGTTTTGCCCCTACTCTGGTTTGGCAAAGGATTATTAAACCTAATGGGCTGGGGGTGCTTCCAGACTAGACTTTGATCAAACCACTGCCATATCTTGTTCAAACAATTTTGTTTTCAACTCATAAACATCCTGTTATTGTTCTAGTAGTGATGGAGTTCTCCATCTAGGACCACCATGGGTTATTTCTCTGTAAGGTCTCCAGCCCCTTGAGATCTGCAATTGAATCCTTTGCTCATGTTTGTCCAGATATGAATGTGCAGTTATGTTCCATCAGCCACAAGTATAAAACACTTACCTTCTGAGGTTCACCTGTCCCATTGCCATTCTTAAAAGACTGCTGGTCAGTTTCACTAGTCTTGAATGTTAGGCATTTTGGGCAGCTATGGACATAAAGCTCATGGAACAGAATAATGCAACCTTGAGTAAAGACACATAGGTTTGTACTATTAAGGATGAGACTCTGGCTGCTTTTTTCTTTTTTGGTTAAATGGAAGTTTCTGTTAAGTATTTCAGTTTCTTTGCATTGTTAACAGCCTGATGCGATACAATCCTACTTCACTCAGAAGCAAGTAGCACTGTGCTACTTAAGTCCTACTCCCAGTCTAGAATCGTAATCTACGAGATTTTAATTGGAGTTGTTCTGGAAGCTGCTTTGCAAACGTAAGTCGAAAAGCTGCTTACAAACTGAAACCCCGTCGCGATATGGTCGGTGCAAGAGTAAAGAAAGTTAAGTGCAACTGCCCGTGCAGCTCACAGAACAGCATTCCCCAACCTGGCGCCCTCGATGTTTGGGACTTCAACTCCCATCAACCTTAGCCAACATGACCAGCAGTCATAATTGGTGGAAGCTGCGGTCCAAAACCTCTCGAGGGCACCAGGTTGGGGGAGGCTTCTAGAGAGAGAAGCGATAGTCACAGGAGCATAAGCGGGGGCAGGAGCGGGCCGCCTCGCGTCAAGCCTCAACTCCCGTTTCACGCCATGGGGGTCTCCCGGGCACGGCGGACCTCGCCCGGAAATTTGCCCGCCCTTCACCTCGAGGGGCCGCCACGAGGCATAACCTCTACCTGTGGGGAGAACGGGAAGGTCGATCACAGGCCTCGGGACAGTGCCGGGATCTTCAGGACGCCCAGAGGCCAAGCCGTTCACACCACCACCGCGCTCCATTGCTCTTGGGCCGCCGCCGCTATAGCGGCGGCCTCCTCCCAACAGGCGGGCCTGGGTTGTCATGGCAACAGTCCCGCCTCCCAACCGGCGGGAATTGTTATTGAACAAGGGTACTTGTTGTCGCTGGCTGCAGCCCGCCCGTAGCCCGCTGGGCGGCGACGTGAAAGGCGCTTTTCCTCCCCTGCGGCTGGTGCAAGCTCGCGGAAGGCTTGAGCGGGGCATTCCTCTTTAGCTAGGGCTTACATTTTAGGAGTCCAGCCTCAATGATTGCAGTTCTCTTTCTTCCTTTGGTAGAAACATCCAAGAACTGGAGGCTGCACAGCTCCCGCCAAGGCAGGATTTTTGGATGTTCTGCAAAATTGAAATTGACAAGCACATGTGCACACACCTGTTCGTTCTCTGACAGTTTCGCTGTTCCGTTATTATTAATAATTATGATTATTTAAAATCAGGATTGCGTACGACCTGGTGTTATGGACAGGTATTTGGGAGTAAACACTATTAAATTGCGGCGAGATGACTGCACTATAAACCCTCTAGACATCCAAATTTGAGAGATACTTAAACACAAAAACATTCTAGCGGTCAGCATACAAGAATAAAGAAAAGCATAAATAAGCAGATCTCTGACTCTTTCTTCAAACCCTGTTTATCTTAGATGTAGCCTTTTAGCGCACAATTCTCTTTATTTACTAAGGGCAAGGTACTCCGCGAGAGATCGCTGTTAAGATTGATCATAATTAAAGCGTTTGTATTTTTAATTGCTTTACAAGTGTTTTGAGACAAGCTGCTTTATTATTAAAAGAGGGGCATAAATATTAAAAATAAAATAAAGGTCCCAAGAAGTTGACAGTTGCTGAATTTTGCAGCTATTTGCTCTGGTGTTATTGCCTGCTCACCTTTCAAACAAGTTTCTGTACCTTTAACTTAGGTGAAAATAGATTTAACAACCGATTATCTGCCTGTTATGCAGCTGCTAAAGAAACAAGAGCCCAAATCAAATAATATGACAAGCCTAGGTACCGATAGCCTTAGAAAACCCACCTCCCTAAGTATATGTATATTCCATCAAACTACATCCTCCCATAGTTACCTGGAAGGCTTAAAGAGGGGTTGGGCTTAGCAGAGGGGGAACAGGTACTCTGAAAAGCCAACTGTATCTACTGAGGATAAGTTCTGTTGCCATCTTTCCCATACTTCCTTGGCATGGCATGGGGCATTGTGCCTGCCTCATCAAAGGCTGTTTGCATGATACAACAAAATGGTGAAACTTGAGGGATGACATTGACCAGGGCTGGAAGTGGGGAAAGAAAAATTGATAAGGAAAAACACATAAAGAAACTGCTGATCAAATCCTGTCAGGTTTTGAGAGGCATTGCCCCATGTGCAAGACACCTTGAAATAGCAGCTCTGGCAAGTTACCTGGCAGCAGCTAGGCCATGAATGATTTCATTCAGGGTCCAGCTTTCTCAGGAAGGATCATAGATGCCACATCAACCAAAGGTAGGAAAAGGTGCTTCCAGCTAATAAACTCACTTGTGCATCCAAAAGAAATGTGGACAAAGGAGCACCCACCAACATGTGCAGCCAGATTGTGGGCCTGTCAACTCAGAAGTAAATCTCATTGAGTTGAATGGTCCTGTTAAGCAGAATACATCCAAGTTAACATGCATTGAATTGCAGCCTTAGGTCTAATCAGATTGTCTGGGGCACATATTCTAACAGACAATCTGATTAATATGAAATTCTGCAAATGATCAAAATAATTTCTGCACTGAGCTGGAGGTTGGAGTTGATAACCTAAATGGCATGGTCTAACTCTTATGATTCATTATATCCTCCATAACAGTGACCATCCATCTCACAAAGAGTCACCTATGAAACGTATTTCTGGGGTTTGGATGTTGCCCCTTCATTCATTCTTACTAGCTTTGGATTGGAATCGGATGTTTTAAAGTACTTGGTCTGTCAGCTCAAAATATAAAGCTTGTCATAAGTAAGTCAAAGTTCCACATATAACAAAGAAGAAGAATGTTGTTGGGTTTTTAAATGGGACAGCATTAAGGTTGCAGTACTATGTATATGGGACTGTTTTTGAGCTGCGATGTGTAGGGTGGCAGTGAGGGTACATATCTGGTTTGCAGAATACATGTGATGATGGTTGTGAAATTGTTGGTTTCTAGTCACTTACTATTAATTTATGTTTACACAACACAAAGCTTTCTTTCGCTTTTCCCCTTCCCTCCCGGTTTTCCTTAACATCTAGCAAATGAAGAGTTCTGGAGAATTCAAAAGCTTAGTAACTACATGTGACATTTGACTTCAATTCTACATCCACTGACCAGGAAGTAAGGGCCACTGAATTCAGTGGAACTTACTTCAGAGCAAACAGCAATAACTACTGTTTGCATTTGTTTTCCTAATAGATCAATATGTATATTCAATTTTTTAATGTGCTGGGAAGGATCTGTAGGAGAAAAGTTGAGAATGTGAAAAAGTTACATGTTCTCTAAGTGCTAGGTGATACTATACATACTGGCTTCTATGTCTTAGTGCAACACCTAGCCTTTCTAATACATACCATCTGTTTTTCTATTCTCTGTGCATTTCAGTTAATACTAGACAGATTGTAGTAACTGCTAGCTTTTATAATTAAAAGAAATGAGGAAGGAACTGTTAGTATTTCTTTGCCCTTCTACAGTCCTCAGCAAAAAATGAAATCTTTATTATATATAGCCAGAACTAGTCTGCCTATTACCTCCTACACTTCCTTTAAAAGCCATCACAAGGTATAGATTCTTTAAAATTTTTACTCAGTTTTAAGTTCCACTGAGTCCAGTGAGACTTAATCTCTGGTGTGTTTAGCATGGAATCCTAACTTTAAAGAATAGTGGATCTGCTATCTTTCAATATCTAATAATCTATTATTCTTCCTTATCTGCCTCCATCCCAGGAATTAAAAGATAATAGCCAGCTAGTTACCACAGAGTCTTATTTATGTCTAGTCAGAAATAAGTCTTGGTGAGTTTAGTGTTATTTAAGTAACAGGTAATGGGATAGCCTGAGAAAAGATTTGACACTGCTGGCAATTGTTTCCTTTAAGTACTACCAAAAACTTTCTTACAATGCCACACCAACAACTTATCCAATAGACTCACTTCCATATTAATGAAAAGTCTGTTGAAATTAGGGGAAACACTTATAGCTTATGCAAACTAAGGTAGACTTTGATTAAATAGCATTTCACATTTTAAGAAAACAAAGATTGCCATAGCTGATCCCATTAATTATGAATATACTTCAAACAAAGTTTAAGGTAGACAACGTTTGAAACCTGTGTTGGATATGGTACTTTCAGTGCCTTAAATCTGATTGTATGTGGTTGCAACTCAGCACATGAGTTTCACTAACATGCAATACACATATTTGCACAGTTCATCTTTTAATGGACATATGAACTGTATACATGTATTGCTGTTGTGCCTGATTGTTTGTCCTTGATTGTTATGTTGTTGTTTTATTGTATTTTAGGTCTATACTGTTTGTGCTGTTTTATGACTATTTTAAGAATTGTTTTTATGATTTTAATATCTGTAAACCACCCAGAAAGCCCTGTGGGCTATGGGGTGGAATATAAATGTAATAAATAAAATAAAGTGCCAAAGTACTTGTGGAGTTATTATAGATGAATTTACAGGTAATATGGTGTTCCTGAAATGATGAATCTTAAACCTACCTTTGTCCTTTGGCATCATGCCAGCAAAAATCCAGGTGGTAAAAAGGTACAACTTTTAAAAAAATTGGAAAAATTCCTTAAAATAAATATTATTTTCAACAAAATCTTAATAAGAGAACACAGAATGCATACATTTGCACTGTAGAATTTGAAATGAACCTTGCTCACCATGATAGGGGTTTATTTGAATACTGATGACTTTCAGGTTACTCTCCATTGCACTGCTTTGTAGGATACAAAAACATGTGTTATGCTGGGACTTGGAATGTAACAACCATTGGTGCTGCTAGACTAGCAACAATAATCCTCAGTTTCTAGCGTAGCACTGCTGTGATGCAGAAAGGAACTTCATGGGGCAAGAGAAAACTCTCTCATTGCCTTGTGCCTGTCATGTCAAAGGGCCAGATATGGCCTTCAGATGTCATGGCCTCCCAGGCTGTTTTTAGGGAGTAATTTAGAGCCTGAATTCTGTGCGCAATCATTGACAAATTAAACATTTAAACATTGCTTTGCTTTTCAAATGACATATTCTTGGATGTGGATGGCTTATTTTTCCATCACCTTTCATCAGAGAATGACAACTGTTCAGAATTGTAGGTATTTTGTATAGGTTAAACTGGATGCTGTTTTAGATGTAGCCTCTTAGATTACACTGTAAGACATATTGGGAAGTATGGCTTATAAGAGATATATTTACACAAATATGGATTGATTTCATACCTTTGTCAACTATTCTGAAGGGGTTAATAGGAAAAAGGTTTAATTCATGTTTAATAACAATCACATGGGGTTTAGGTCCTAAGTAATTGGACATTTTTTCAGAATAAAATGCAGTACACCCAAAACCAAGTATCCGATAACCATAAAGATGAAAAATTGCTTGCAGAGAAGCTTGCCCTTAAGTGGAAGCAAAGAAGCTATCATCCTTTATCTCCATGTAATCAAATATCTATGCTATGAAAGAAATTTAATCAGACTTTTTGTTCATTTAATCTGATACTTTACTCTCCCATTATGGTGGTAGTATTCACTGCAACCTGTGAATTACAGTGATTTAGCCATACTTGTCCTGTGTGTGTGAATTGTATAGCGTATACAATTGGATGATAAAGGGAATGCTTTGGAAGACTTAATTATAAATTAGGGGTGACTGTCAATTTAATCTTCTAGCCCCTTGCTGCAAGGACTATATTTTCTATGAATGCGTTTCACCATTTCAAAAATCAGTGTGCAAATTCTTCAGCCCACTAGCTTTGACTATAGGACATAATTTGTTGTTGCTGTTGTTAGGCACGAAGTTGTGTTCGACCCATCGCAACCCCAAGGACAACATTCCTCCAGGCCTTCCTGTCCTCCACCATCCCTTGGAGTCCACTTAAACTCACACCAACTTCAGTGACTCCATCTAGCCACCTCATCCTCTGCTGTCCCCTTCTTCTTTTGCCATCCATTGTTCTCAGCATTAGGCTCTTCTCCAGGGAGTCCTTCCTTCTCATTAGGTGACCAAAGTATTTGAGTTTCATCTTCAGGATCTGGCCTTCTAAAGAGTAGTCAGGGTTGATCTCCTCTAAGACTGACCAGTTTGATCACCTTGCAGTCCAAGGGACTCACAGGAGTCTCCTCCAGCACCACAATTCAAAGGCCTTAATCCTTTGGCGCTCAGCCTTCCTTATGGTCCAGTTTTCACAGCCATACATTGCAACTGGGAAAACCATAGCCTTGACTATATGCACTTTTGATGGCAGGGTGATGTCTCTGATTTTTAGTATGCTGTCTAGATTTGCCATAGCTTTCCTCCCCAGGAGCAAGCGTCTTTTAATTTCATGGCTGCAGTCCCCGTCTGCGGTAATCTTGGAGCCCAGGAAAATAACATCTGTCACTACCTCTATTTCTTCCCCATCTATTTGCCAGGAAGTGAGAGGACTAGATGCCATGATTTTAGTTTTCTTAATGTTGAGTTTCAAGCCAACTTTTGTGCTCTCCTCCTTCACCCACATCAAGAGGATCTTTAGTTCCTCTTCACTTTCTGCCATTAGAGTGGTATCATGTGCATAACTGAGGTTGTTATTTCTCCCAGCAATCTTAATTCCAACTGGGTGATTCATCTAGCTCTGCCTTTCTCATGATGTGCTCTGCATATAAGTTAAATAGGCAGGGCGACAGTATACAGCCTTGCCGAACTCCTTTCTCAATTTTGAACCAATCAATGGTTCTGTGCCCAGTTCTCACTGTTGCTTCTTGACCTGCATACAGGTTTCTCAAGAGACAAATAAGATGATCAGGTACTCCCATCTCTTTAAGAACTTTTCACAATTTGTTGTGATCCACACAATCAAAGGCTTTAGCATAGTCAATGAAGCAGAAGTAGATGTTTTTCTGGAACTCCTAGCTTTCTCCATGATCCACCGTATGTTGGCAATTTGATCTCTAGTTCCTCTCCTTCTTCGAAATCCTGCCTGTACGTCTGGTAGTTCTCGGTCCACATACTGCTGGAGCCTAGCTTGTAGGATTTTGAGCATAACTTTGCTAGCATGTGAAATGAGTGCAATGGTGCAGTAGTTTGAACATTCTTTGGCATTACCCTTCTTTGGGATCAGAATGTAAATTGACCTTTTCCAATCCTGTGGCCACTGTTGAGTTTTCCAAATTTTCTGGCATATTGAGTGTAGATCTTTTACTGCATCATCTTTTAAGATTTAGCAAGGATTTAATTATCTGACACGATCCTTTACAAATGGCTTTTAAGTAGCTATTTGAGCACATTCTTATACTGGTACATTCCATTATATGTTCACCATGACTTGCTCTGTTAAGAGTTCTGTCCTCTAATGAGGGATAAACATCAAAAGTCACATTTTTGAATGCAAATATGTGTCACACAAGTCCAATAATTGGTGTGCCTTCAGCTACATACTTCATTATTCTTGGTGATATGGAAGTAAATTAACCATGTAAAGGATTCACTTGCCCCTGTTCTATGGAAAAACTTATTTGACCTCTATTTGCTGGTCACTGGAGTGTTGTGGACGGTACATGTGCCAAATTCTAGCCATGTAGCTTGCCTAGAAGGTCCTTTGCTTATTTGAGGGTATACTCTAAAGTCTATACCTATTCATATTTTTCTAGCAAGTGTGGTATTCTAGGAGCCCTTCAAACATTAGCTGTGTGGGACCTGCTTCTCTATGAGGAGGTCTTGTGCAGACTGAGGTAATATTTAATAAATGTGTGGGCCTTTCCTATAGAATAAGCATTGCCCTAAGAATTATGTTTGAGACCTATATGTTCACCATCCCCATTAACATTGCTGGAATTTTGGTGAATGGGGCGGCATATAAGTTTGCTAAATAAATAAATATTTTTTTAGGACATATCTAGACAGAAGTCTTATTACTCCCAGCATTTCCTAGAAAGCCATGCTGGGGAATACTGAAATTTGTAGGGTTTTGCAGTCTAAACATGCAAAACATTATTTCAGCCAGGCAGGAGCTATTCCTGAAAAGGCAGCTTAGATGAAGCATATAAAACAATTCTATTTATATGCAAGTTCTTAATAAATGAATGAATGAATCAGGCCTAAGCATTTTATTGAGAGCTTAAGAATATATTTTCCATGAATGCTTTTCACCATTTCAAAAATCAGTGTGCAAATACACATTTGAATTCTTACTAAACATATTTACAGAAAATTGCACCAGTGAAATACTGTGTTAAATACTTAATATATAAAAATCATATTAGTCTTACATTCTTGTTACAAAAGTTGAATACTTTTAGTAAAACATAGAACAAGAGGAGAAAACACAATCGATCTTTTCTTTGTAGTTGCTGTTTTGACTATTTTAAGAAATTCATTTGTGGCTTTCTGTTACTGATTCTCAGCATCTGATATTAATGTAACACATGCTATCTTTAATAGCATTATTGAAGTAATCAGGAGTATAGTGCTGTAAAATATAGTTGTACGTTGTCTTTTTGCTCTTTGGTCAGTCATACAACTTTTTTTTTCAAAGGGCACAGTTGTTTTCTCTGTCTTTGGCATTGCAACAGCTTTATCATTATGAATACTGTGCCTCACTCTTGAAAATTATCATAAGAAACTTTGATGTCTTCTTTAAAACTGAAAGGCCTATTAGCAACTCTTGCTGTAGACACAGTAATCATTCATATTCTGAACATTGACCTGTTATTATTCATTACAGTAGAGCCAAGCAATATAGCTCTTAAACTGCAATATATCTAAACAAGCTAAAATGTACTTTTATTTTCCTGGTCAATTTGAAGGTTCCTTGAAAATAAGTATATTTTGGAGAGTGAAAGTTTTTAGCACTGGAATAAAATATAGTGACAGTAGATATGATGTGCTATGTATAACTTGTAAAATAACCCAGTAAAGCATGATCACAAAACACATTTTGAATAAATATTAAATCTGTAGTAGAAACAGAACTGTAGACAGTACTCAGTACAACAGTATTGCTAAAACATATTACAGGACATTGACAACCTTTACCATTACACAAATAATACTTGCTGGTGCAGTGTGTTTTTTTTCCTGGCTATTGGCATTGTGCTACAGTTTGTTTATGCTAGCACAATGTAATACATACAAGCAATGTAACTCAGTGTTGCACTGGATTCTTTCCTGCAAATGTATTCCATTCTGCTTTACTTACTCTTCCTATCTTTATAATGTAGTGATGGCACATGAAGTTGCATAATTAACCCTGCCTAAGGGTCTCTTCACTCCTTAGCCTTTGTTAGACAGTGGCCCACTTCAGAGGTCAGTCTGGTAGTTCCTTGGTTGTTGAACTTGGGTTGCAGGGATGAATGGAGCATGCAACCTCTGTGGCCATCATTTTTGCTTTTACTCAACAACCAAGGAATACTCTGTGATGTGCAAAGCTGGAAACAACTGAGTTAACTCAAAATTGCCCATAGTTTGTTTTGGGACTGACTGTGGATTGTTTAGCCCATTAAAAACCCAGAGTTTGAGGGTTCATGTGTCCATGCACTTTCTGGGTTAAGCAATTCAGGAACTGACAAAATGTTGTCTGAAGCAGGTCATTATGTAGGAACCTTGACTGGAACCAAATGAAATGAGTGAATGCTGGCAGAAATCATATACAGTCTCCCATGACTATGTACACCTATGTGACTCCTCTCTTGAAAGGGAGCTGCTTTCACTTCTCATCAGTGCTCACTGTAAGAAGGATCCTTAGGTATGTTTATCTGCAGGTCACAACCAATCAAAATTACCTTTATTATGCCTCTACAGTAAAAGTAAATATGAATTTTGACAAACCTAAATATAATTTGTTTTTAGAATGCTGAACTATAGTCTTAAAGAAGCTGACAGTAGTACTTAACAACCCACATTTTAATTTACAGTGTAATCCATTTGGTATTTCTTCCAATCATTTTGATAGGACTATGCGGTACTTGGATTATTCACATGCACATACTGTAAAAATGACCCATCTAGAACTTGTTCAATGAGAACTTCTTCTACTATATTTATATCCTGAAATAAGAAGGAAAGATAATCAGATATGCAAATAAACAATGAAATCAACACAGTGTTGCTAAGCAGTAGTCTTATAATTAGCGACAGAAATTCTCTTTTGCAGCAGTAGTTAGACTACCACAATCTATTTTACCTATTTAACATTAAGCATAATTGATACTTAACTGACACCCACATTTTGGGTTCCCTGTCCTAGCATTGCCAAGGCAAAACAAGCTATATGAGGATTAAAAACCCAGTCACTAAAGGAGATGTCAGGGAGATGCATATTGTTACATTGGATGGGTTTAGACAACACAATAATCCAGACTCAAGGGCTGAGGAAGGGTTGTCATCGTACCATTGTTTTAGGGATCTCTGAACCCAGCTGCACTGAGAAGCCATTGTTTGTTTCCCCCCAAACAACCCATGAAAAGAACCTATGCTTTACTGTTGGGTTGTGAACTGTGGGCTATTCCCTTTGGTTTATTATCTTGGCTGGGTTGAGACAACATGATAACTCATGGTTCAACTTATTCTCAATCCTTGAGTGTAGCTTGTCATGTTGTCTGAATATAGCCAATGGGTTCTGGGATTCAATGGCCTCCTAAATGAGTACACATTCTTTAGGATATACCAGAAATCATGTAAGGGATTGCTCAGATTTGTAACCTCCCACTGAGAGCTTTACATCAGATGGCCAAATTCTACTAGTAAAGCAGCAAGTTATCCTGAGATGGCGTCAATATTTATATGATGTAAAAAATGATCCTTTGGCAAGATTAGAAAGGGAGCTGACTTGGTTTTGCCTTAAACATTTCAGTGCATTGAACCAAAAGATACTCAGTTTTGGGCTAGATATCCAGTTATAGGGGCATCAGCTGTGTACAACTATGCACAATTAAAATGGAAATAGAAATTTTTCACTTAATGGATAGTGTAACCATATCAATCAATTCATGTAAATGAGAAAGCAAACACGTAAAAACAATTATGCAATAAAAATCATAGATCAAAATGTTTACATGCACTGTTATACTTTTTCAATTAGGACATTATGACACAAATAAAATTGATAATAGATATAAACAAATAGAGCCTGCAACAAAATTTTGCATTATGGTGCTTTCCTGAGATCCAGCTACCTCATTCTACCACCACCACCTTGGTTTCCTTTTTTCTTCTCTTCAATAGTTAGAGAGCATACTATTGCCATGTTCATGCATAATTCCTATTAGGCTAAGCTTTTAAAAATTATTTTGTGCCCAATTTAAACTACCATAAATCCTAAATTTCTCTATTGATTTCTATAGGAAGTTCTCAGTTTTGCACCTGGGAACATTTAAAAATAGTTTTTTCTGTATGAATCAGGAAATTACCTTCCAAATGAGGAGATGGTTCTGTCTGTACTACCTCATCCTTCTCCAACCACTCCATTCCATTTCACCTCCCACTAATTAACTATTAATTACTATTAGTAACTGTTTATAGCTACTATTTAACCTTTCAGTCCATAGCTTTCTATGACATTGAAATTTCATAGATCTATTTTAGGAGGTTCCCCTTTAAAAATTAAATATAAGAAAAAAATGTAAAATTAGTATTGCAAACTTTCAGCTTTCTTCTGGTCTGCTGATCCTCCCTTTTGTGGCCTACAAGTGAACATAATAATCAGTAGTTGAAGGAATGCTTGTAACATTTAATTTTAAGATGATTCATTTCCTTTCATTTTGGCTACCATTTTGCTAAAATAGCAGCAGTTCAAGTAAAATGCTGCTTATTGTTATTCAATAAACATACCCCTGTTTGTTAAAAATATTTGTACTAATAAAGGAGAAATACATCTTATTTATTAGCAGGAACTGAATTTTAGGTTGCAGAAGAAACAATTCACACTGCCATGCTATTGCAACACTACAATACTTGTAAATGTACTATTGATATAAAAAAACAGAACTAGTCTAGAACTACCAAGTAGCTACAGTTCTGCTGAATATGTTGAGGATAGCCAAAGGCTAAAGGTAAGCCTTTATAAATTGATTAGTATTGAAATAACATCATGATCACCTTGAATAAAGTGTTAAAAGATAATGTTTCAGTCCCATACAACACTTCTTATACATACAGGTAAGACCTACCCTTTCCCAGTGATAATACAGAATATCTCTACTGCCCAAAGAGGAGCACTCTTGCTCATGGCACTAGACTGTCTGGAACAGAGGCCTTGTAGTGCTGCTCAGCTTTCTTGGGGAAAGAGCTTTAGAAATGTGGAAAGAAAAAAGAATGCCTTTTCTCTCAAACCCCTAGGCCTTTCTCAGTTGTGCTACACAATTCCATCTGGTTAAGGGAGCTGCTAGTTCCAGACCTGTTAACCAAAAACAAAAGGCTTGATATTCTGTCAGACCAACAGGGATGTACCAAGACACTATATTCTAAATTATGCAAGGTTGTGCTGGCATAATATCAAGATTTCTGACTTCAGACAGGAGCAATGCTGCCTGGTGTTCTTTTTAACTCAGAAGAGGTAACCTGGTGTCCTCCAGCTTTCTTGGACTACAACTTCTGTCCTATTGTTTCATGCAAGCTAGGCTGGAAAGAATTGTAGTCTGGAGGCTACCAGCTTGCCTACTCCTGCTGAAGCACACTTTGTTTGCTATTAAATTTATACTCAACTCTTCCAAAGAACCCTCATTTTATCTTCACAACAACATTATGAGGTAGTTTAGGCTGAAAGTAAGTCAGCCTTAAGTTACCAAGTGAGCTTCATGGCCAAATATAGAATATAACATGCTTCTCTCAAGTCCCAGTCTAACACTCTGCTACACTACACTGACTCAGCAAATGTTAGACTCCAATCATATACCTGAGAAGCTTTAGATTTAAGAAATGGTAAGGGACAGATATGCTTTTCCCCTTTCTTAATTGAAACCAGAAATGTGGGTAGTATGTGCTTCTTTCCTGCCAAACTTGTTTTGAATGTCTTAAGTGATTCTTAGATCTCTGAAAGAGTAGAATGTCAGCCATCTTGAAAACTAGCTGCTGCAGAATTTATAAAACATGATGGTAAAATGTATTTCTGCATAGACCCAAAAAGCACATAAATGTAAAGATTCTCTGCACCTTTGTTTCTTCCTTTCTCTCTCTTTCTCTCGCTTTCTTTCTTTCTCTTTTGCACTGTGGTCTCTCCCAGAGCAAGAGTCAGAGAAGTACTGCTCTATGGATGCTATACAACTCTAGTATTTGTTACCTCCCAAGATAATTTGAAAATCTCCCTTTCTTCATGAATAGGTAAAAGAAAAGGATCTGCCTAGTGGCGAAGTGCTTTAATTGTTGTACTTCGTATTTATTTTTTCTATAATTTTTACTATTGTCGTTTTAAAACTATTTAGTGTGTTGAGGTTGGTTTACTGCAGGACTGGGCACAGTGCAGCCTATGGTTGCATGCACTTCTCCAGGGCCATTTGTGTGGCCTGGTGTGTTTTCTCTATCGCTGCAGCTCTGTTACAGCTTCTGAAAGTGCTACCCTTCCTGTTGGGAGTAAGAGGGATGGCAGTCTTGGGCAATAATCCCCACAAACTGCTGGCTATATTCCAGCCACTGATTCAGAATTGCAAAGTGAAGGCTATTTCAGTGAAATTGCAGAGGATGGACTAGGACAAGATTCTGTGAGACAGGAAGAAGAGGCGATTATCTCAAGGCCAGGTGCTTTGCTGAGCCTGGCAGTTCCTGGGAACAGCCCAAATGACAGCAGAGACAGGAAGCCACAATGAATGAGCAGCATGCAGACAGGAGGTGTGCTCCCTTTCAGAGAGCCCTTCGTGAGGGGATGGGGCCCAGGCATGTTCATAAGGAGAGTTCCTGGCAGTAAACATTAGATTAGGTTCAACAAGTGCTCTGTGCATGCTCAGAGAGCCATGATTTGTATACCAAGAATCAATAAAGAAAGTTGCAAGGAAAACTTTCTGGTTTTGGTACTGGTTCAAAGGAGAAACCTTGGCTCAAAACACTAGCTGCCAGTCTACTGAACAGCTATTTGGTGGGCTGGTGGGATCCTGGTGTAACTGGGGAAAAGGGTGAATTACAAGAACTCTAGAGCACCCCCTTTCTTTCAAGTAGCACTGTGATAGGATTGAAATTCAACCCACCTTCCCAATGTAGTGATCTTGAGCAGCATCACCTTGTTCCCATCTGTAACATACTAATCAGTACCACCAGGCTTGCAGGGAGAGGGGAGGTGGAAGCTAAGCCCAGCAATCTGCAGTCAAAAGCAGTAGAACTAGAGTATTTTTGTGTGTGGGTAATCGTGTGTACACATGCAGCCCCTGGCCAGCCACCCAATATGGGGTCTCAACCTGAAGAAAGCTGCCTACCCCTGACCTGACAGGAAAGCAATATTTTTAAAAATATAAAGTAAACAATACATAGCAAGAGCACAGAACATGAAAAGAATATTTGCTGCCCCTCCAACAGTGCATAGTTCCAATCTGAGAAAGCAGAACAGCTTGTTTATTTTTGGATGGGTATTAAATCAGTGTTAGGACCATACATCAGTGTAGACTATTTCTGCATTGAAGTTTTGAGTCTTTCAAACTTTTTTGAATACTCAGGCATAACTTTCTTGCAATCTACAAATGCCCTCAGATGACCTATCAATTACAGAGGAAGTGGATGCACTTGTAGATACAGTAGTCTTAGTAGTGGCTTCAGAAAAATAATAATACAGTTTACTCACTATATAGTCTTCATAATAGAATGTATGTCTGTGCTGAAGGTGCGTTAGAAAATTCCTGCTGTAATAACTTGGCCCACCATCAGGTAGTAAACGACAAATTGGACAGTACTGTAAGTAGTTCAAGGGGAAAAAAATAAGTACTGTAAATGAGAAAGTGTGTAGCCAAAAAAAAAAAAAAACCTCTCTAAAAAGAGAGAAATGTGAAATAACTAAATAAATAAAGGTCATTATTTGAGCAACCTGAATATATTAACTTCCAGACACAATGCACTTTCTAATAGTAAATTCAGTTTATGCAAGTATACATGCTTTGTTTGTGTACAACCCAGAGGGTACTTTGTACAGCATACCTTTCTTGTTTATAGGGCTTTGTTTTATTTTTTTGCATGAATGAGGCACACATCACTAACTATGGAATATTTTCTCTAGAACACATGCTCATTTTCCCTTTAATGTTGAGCACCACCCCAATCTGTAGCCTGTAACAGGAAAACCCTGCAAGGGTGCAAATATCCAGTCTTCAGAACTGCAGCCAGTTGCTCCAATACAAGCACAGAGCTTTTCCTCCAAGAGAGATTTCTCTTACTTCATGTGTACAAACTGTTACCTTCCACTGAAATGAAGGAGAGTTCTGTGCACAACAATCACATAGATATCAAGGCTGAACGTAAAGTTTAAACTGGTATGTGAAGCAAAAGGGACAAATCTGATTTATTGTACTATAAAGTCTCAGCATTCCTTTCAAGATCAATGGTTAAAGATGATTTGGTTTGGAGTTGCAGAGAGAAGGGGCTGGCACTAATGTAAACATTAGTTAACCAGTATATTCTGTAAGTGTGACTCACAACAAAATGTCGCAATGTAAAGAGCTTTTGATTAGAAGCACACTCTCTCCATTCCATTTTTTCCCCCAGGCATTCTGTGGCCACTGAGCACACTCACTTCTCATTGGGCTGTTTGGGTTTTTTCCTCCTTAAGGTTTCTTTTCTAAAGATTTTGTTTCTACTTCTACAAATTTCTGGGTTCTTTCACATATGCTGATACCTCTCTTTTCTTCTGCAGTATATTCAAAGAGGTAAGATTGTTGTTACTGTTTATATCATTGTTTTTTCTTCATTTCTATTCTACACAATAGTCAAAACACTGCACAGTTTGTCTTTATCTGATATCTAATGTATCAGAATTTGATTCTGGAAACATTGGGGAATTCTGATTCAAGAGTCTCATTTCATAGACACAGTTTAGCTAAAACCCTTCAGAGATGTCTTTTTGAAAAATGGACATTAAGACTAGTACATCAGAACTGATGATGTGCACAATACACATTTCAGTTTATGCCACCTTACCTGTCAAATTGCAAAAGATTAACCCAATAACACATGCATGTGGTCATGAACCCAAGTATAATGCATTTACCACTGCTCTCCTTTCAGATCTGTGATAAGTGAGAAAATGGTCCAGAAGATCGCTTTCATCCAATTCATACTGGCAGAAAGGGCAAGGATATCTGAAAAAGACATCTATTACAGATAAATACTAGTTGCATGTTTTAGAGTTAAGTATTCAGTGCATTCTACAACTGACAATTAAACTCAATGGTGAGCCAATTTGTTTGTGATTTACAGAAGTCTCCCTCTAGGGTAGGCAGGAAAATAGGCATGAAGAAGGGTTAGAAATAGTGAATACTGAGAAATGAGATTATGCTTTGCAGGATAACCTTCCCTTGCTTGTGCATGTCTAACAGACACCAGAAAAGTGTTGCATTTTTCTTCATAGCTTTTATTTGCATAATCAAATGGGACTAATGGCTTCTTTAGAGCTGGCTCATAATGGGGGCTGGTCATCCAAATCACATTACAATAGCAGTTTTGTCCTTGTCTCTAGCTTTTTGGACCTTAAAAGTGTAAAGCCAGCATATAGGCTATTTCCTTACTGGTATCACTTGAGATGACAGGTTGGGGAAACACAAATTGCTCTGAAAGTTTTTCTAGAGTCCAAAGGCTGTGAATCATCTGTAAAGCCTGTCTGTTTGAGCAGTTCACTAGAATTAGAGTAGATGAATACCCATTCAGACTGCAATCCTACACCAATGTACCAGGAATCAGTCCAACTAAAATCAATAGAACTTACTTCTGAGTAGACAACAGTAGATTATGCTGTTAATACTCTAGGTTTGGTTGTTTTAAAACTGAGCATTTTAAATGGTTAGCGTAGGTTTAAACAGTATCTTCATGCAACTGAGGCCACTGGGATATGGCTGGATAAAATAGTGAATGAGTAACTACATAAATCAGGCTGATTGTAGATTTCCCCTACCTTTATTATATTAATATGTACTTTACCTGGTTTCCGGATGTACAATCTCTTGTAAGGGGCCATATTTCTCTATATATTGACCACAGGTCCTCAGATGAGCTCTCATTTCACTTAGGCACACCTAAATCATGTGAAGAAATATTTTGTTAGTCTTTCATTGATTGTCCTATAAATGCTTACCTGCAAGTCCTCTTTTTCTGAGTAGGCATCCTTAGGCTTATAGCACATTCTTATGTGCTATAAGAAAGTCCTGATCACTAACAGAGGGAAGTAAATCACATTGATCTGAATACAGCTTAGTTATGCAACACAGTCATTTTGATGTTTACTCAAAAGTAAACCCCAGTATATACACTTATGGTGGAGTTAATTTCCAAGTAAGTGCACATAGAATTGCAGCCCTAATTTATGGTTGCAGTCATTCTAATAACTATTCTCACTGAAGAAGTCTGTTTATTTTGGGTTTCCTGTGACTGCAGTTTATAGAAACCATTTCCCCACTTTCCCAGCTGCATCCTTTTAACCCAGCAATCAGGCTTCAGTGGAAGGCTTCTTTCTATTCTAATTGCAGAAGGGTGGGGTGAATTGGGGAAAGTTGACTGTGATTCCCTTCCCATTGCTCTGTACTGCAACTAGGGTTGGGAAGCATTTTCAATTTTTCAAGCCTCCTTAACAGAGTGGGGTGGGCAAGTTTAGAGTCAGAGGAAGAGCCTAGAGGTTCCTCAGCCATGAAATAAGTATAAAAAGTATAGTGTGTAAGTATAAGAACATCAATTCTTTATATGAAGCATTTATTGTATGTTTGAAATACCTTATTTACATAAATTTGTGGGCCCTTTCATGACATCAGTATGCCTCATGTCCTCTCCCATGTTTACTAGCCATTTTTATGGCTTTTTTTTAGAGCAAGGAAAGTCAGCTATTTTCCTGGATGCCTCATTTGCTATGAAGCCCAGTGTAATTTCCTAATTTCCCCAAGGTTCCCTACTGCAGCACCACCTTGTGTTGTACAATTCAATATACAGGAACACAGAGAAAGGCAGGGAGAAAAGCCTCATCTATGTAAACTTTACAACAACCCTGTAGAAAAGGACACTGGTTTTTATCCTTATGTTACAAGATGGGTAGAGGATAGGATTGAGGGGAGAGATGGTAGCTTGCCTAAGATTATCTGATGAGTTCATGGATGTAAGAAGATCTGAAAGAAAACCTTCC